GTTTGAATAAGAGTCTTGTCCGTATCGCCGGTCTCTAGCGACAAAAACATTTGATGAATCTGATTATGCAAACTACGGCGGGGGATAAACAGAATTTTAAGCTTTTCGAAATTTGTATACGAAGGGGGACGACGAACTGGTTGGCGTTTCGTGTCGGTGGATTTGTTTCGACAGCGACGACACATTAGTAATGCAGATGAAGTTACCGTCGTCGTTGGCATTTTTCTGTATCTCGTCGACGCTGCCCCGAAACAATTTTTTGGCTCGCTTTCAGACTAATGTGTTTGGGATGGACGCGCCGACCGTGCTTTCATTTTCGTTGGCATTCGTCCTTCAATTTTTAAAATGTACGCAACTCGAAATTCGGCGAGCCTTCTTCGATACATATATTTTCAGTCTCAGGAACGAGTTTTTTTTGTAATTTTTGAATTCCCTTCGGGATTACCATTTACCAAAAAGCTTTTCCTTGAACCATATAAGATATAATGGATTTATAAAAAAAGGGGATAAAAGGTTTCCAGTAGACCCGATATTTTGATTCGAGGTAGAAGAAAAGATATTTTTATTTGAAAGGTAACGCGTTTCCAAAGACGCGACGTCGTTCTAATTGCACGACGTCATGTTGTCGATATTTCGTGATATATTGCCTGCAAGATACGCGGGCGAGAAAATGTAGGTCCATTTCGCGTCGAGGCGAGCGGTAGAAACAGACGACGGTATATTGCCTTTAGGGCAATAATCCATTGTCGGCTGCTTCGTTACAGGGCAGGTTATTGCCGCTAAAATAAGAATCCTATTCTAGCTTTTACAGTTTATTGAACACCACCGATCCGCCCACTGTTTATTTCATCGCGAAGGAGGGATCCTCGTAATACCGGGAAAAATGCGTCTCTCGGTACTTCTTAGACGACTATACCTTGCTTCCTACGTTTTAGAACCTAATGATTTATAGCAAAGGGATTCGGACTGTCTCGAGGCACCTTGGATCGAGGATATCTGCCGGCGAAGTTTCATAAAGTTTTTCGAGCCTTTTGTTTCTATCACTGTGTCCAGGGTGTCCCAATGACTATGCTAGAATTTAGAGAAACATCATTTGACAACCGAGACACTATTATTTTAAAAAACGCACTGAATAAAACAACAGCATTTCACCGATCGAAATAACGAAACAACCGATCGCTTCTACAGAATTACGCAACTATGATAATCTAATAGTAGATTCAATTTCCTCGAATAACTCGATTTTAGTTGGACACTTTTCTCGCGAAAATAGTACGAAACGGTATATTTTCAGTTCCTAGCAAATTAATTCTTTAAATATTTCTTCTTCCTCCGATCGATCCTCCCCCACCATGCCTGTTTAATTTTAAAAAGATTTAAAACAAAGTTTAAGGCGTGTAAAATGTAGTAGATCGTTGGTGCAATTTCGTTTATCGATCATCGAACAGACATGTATAGTTCGACCCAGCGAGAACGAGGTTCGGAGTGTCACCAAGCATGGACCGAACTATACATACGCACAGGGCCCGTGTAGCTCTTTACAACTTGATATCTGGGAAACTGTTCCATCGATTTCAACGATTTAGGTCTCAAACTGTAGGAGTCTGAAGGGCCTTTAAACTGGAAAGGAGAAAGAATTTAAAACACAATGTTTTAAAAGCGTTTGCAGGAGAGGGATGCAAATTCCCGACTGAAATTTGAATTCTGAACAATGATACAATACACAATTTCTATAAATCCCATCCACGACGAGCATTCCATTCCACATATTTCCGCGTTTCGATCTCTATCGCTGGCAACTTGGAAGGGAAATAAACCAAATGGCACTCGCGCGTATAAATAAAAAGAAGAGAAGTGTCCATCCATTTCGAAAGTTGATTTAAACGTTTCCCCGTGGAACGTGGCCCAGCAGAGAAAGGATGAGAAGCAGAACGGAAGAATTACTTCATTCGATTCGTCGAACGACTAAATACAACGAGGCTGGACAGTCAGTGGAGGCATGTGGAGCGAAATGGCGGTTGGAAGGGGGGACGTGACATGAAAACGAATTCGTCCTTACCCGCGGCTCGTCAAACAACGGATTTTTTCATTCGGGAGGCCAATATCTCCGTCGCGGTGATTTTGTGCATAGCCGTGAGCCGCGACGTCGGACAGCATCGATAACCCATAATCATCGGCGTGTCCCGTCTCGCGGCCTCGGAGGCGTGCTCGGCATGAATAAAACAAACATAAGTTTCGCAGCGAATTCAATATCCTCGTCGACGAGGGGGTGGGAGGGGGTGGGGCGTGCGAGGCGCGACGAAACGAGGGGGGAGGGCAATCAGTCGCAGCCGCGTGCACGGACGCATTCGGGATGCAGGCGAAATCGGCCAACGCGATCGGACTGGACACGGTCGCGGTTCCAATATGGCCGCTATTATTCAAAATAATTTAATATCGGAATATTTTATGACGGTCTCAAATACCGCAGTTTTTTTCAATATCATTATCGATCGGACATTACTATTCGAATCGGTAAATATTAGATACCGTGAACTAACAAATTTTCTAAAAATAAGCATTTCAAACTTTGATTTTTCGCAACAAAAATTTGAGACTTATATAACTGGAAGGTACAAGCTTGTCGAACGTTGGTAAAAGGTCTTGATATCCACATGCAACTGCAAACCGTTATCAACTTCGTTATGTTTGTTGTCTCTCCCTTTTTCTTATGAATTTTTCATGCCTGCACGTGTGTCAACTTAACATGTACTGTTTCAACGTTCACATATAATTGCAAACCGCATTTAACTTCGTTGTGTTTGTTCCCCCTCCTTTTTCTTATCAATTTTTCATGGTTGCGTGTATGTGTGTTTGTATGTGTCCACTTAACGTGTCCTTTTATTTACTGATTCAGAGACGCGCATAGCCACATTCCTCCCTCGACTCCGCTCTTTTATCTTCCCTTTCGTCCGTATTGTTCCGTACCAAAGGGATTTTTCCACCGTTGGACTAATAAACAAATAATTTACTATTTGAATATCATTATAATTATCCCGTCGATCGAACACAACGCGGATTCCCTAAAGTGGTGGAATTAAACGAGGATAAGTTTCCTTTCATGGCAAAATTAGCGAAATGGCTTTCAAATACTCCTGCTACTTTTTCTTCCGTCGAGTCTTTCATAAAGCTGGAAAAAGAGTGTCCGCAAACAGAAGCTGCTTACAACCGAAAAATGTAAACACGTTAGTACTTTTTCATGAAAAATAGAGATGTCGTATGGGACATCTTAACCTCAGAATTGTGCGTTAAAATTCTTTGGCGATGCAGGCAATTTTCGAAAACAGTATGTCTTTCACTATCTCGAAAGGTCTGAATATTTTATAAAATAAAAAAAAAGTGTCCTCAAAAATTTTAAAGTCCTTTTTCTTGGAAACAAAACCCCGGGATGAAAAGATTTAATTCTACATTTTCGATTCATTTTTTTCACGTGGAATCCCCGTGTTGCTGTTCGTTCCACTAATTATTAGATGTCCCGTGGCAAATATTCGAGTCATGTAAGCGTTGGAACGTTGGAATACGGAAAAAGGAATTCGACAAGTAGTCTGGGGCTTAGGTCGAAGTTCCAGTTTCCGGTTGTCTCTGTGTCCAACCCTTTCCTCCTTGTACGTCTCGTGCCACGCGTCGGAATCGCAGGAACTACGGAGGCGCGGTGGGAGGCCCGGAGAGCGGCGTTTCGGGCAATGCCGCTTTGAAAATCGATAAGCGGCTCCGCGTAGTCGACCAGTCAGGAGCTTTTCGGCGTATCCGCGCGAGATCCTGGCCGGTCACGTGGCCGGCCCGTCACGTCCGCAGAACGCCAACGGCAGAAGATCGCGCGACGTAGTCGGCCTTCGTTATCGCGAACTTCTATCCAAGGATCGACCTTTGTCGTAGAGATCGCGATTCCCCTAGCCAGCGGGAGATTCAAACGTCCGATTAGGGAGACGTAATTACAACGGGATGATTGATCGAATCAACCCATTAAGCAGCAAATAATCGCTTCTTGAAAACTGACGTTTATCTTCTGATTCGTCAGGTTGAAAAACATTTTTTATTTCCAATAAGAAAGAACTCGTAACCCAAAGGACATCTTTCAATACGGTTCAGTAAAAGTTTGGTTAATTTTTAGATTTTGGACTACTAGAATTTAATAAATTGTTGAAATCATTAATGAATTCGTGCTCCTTAAGGCTAGTTCATTTTCTTCTTGTTCCGAGAACTTATCGTCCAATTTTCCTTTCCCCGAGACTTTCTCGTGCTTGTCGCTTGATAAAGTCCTGGCCGAACTTGAATATGCAAATTATTTCGATAAATCGATTAACTAATGAATTACCCTCGCTTCTCGGGAAATAGCTCTCCTTTAAAATTGCACCTTTCATCCATTCCGACCTATTTGCTCAGGATCCAAAAATGCTAATTTAATGTAACGTTTCGCGTCGAACATTTGTTCTTCTATTTTAATCGTGTGAGTCTTATAATATGTGTTCTCAATTTTGTACGCTCAACCTGACTCATGTTACGTTCAACCCGTTTCAAATTACACACTTATCCCGTCTCGATTTACGCTGAACCCGATCCGAGACTCAAGTATCCGTAATTTTTGTGACAGAATAGAGAAAGGTAGATAACTACGAACGAGCATGAAAACGAAGGCAATTTAACGAGACGGTAACAAAGTGTAAATTAGCTGTAGGTCAAAAATGAGTTTGACGTGGGCGGCGGTAAGGGTTAATCGGGTAGGACGGAAAGAGCGAGCGATGGATAGACGGAACCGGGGCAGCGGGAATCGTGATCGAGCGAGGAATTTCGGGTGGCACGGTGACTCGATAACCATCGCTGCCCATTGATTATCCCCTCGCCGGAGGGGGAGGGGGGGGGTAGGGTCAAACATCTCGAAAAGGTCGATTCATTAGGGATCGCGCGGCCCCCGGTGGAAGGGAAGAGGTCTCCGGTAACCGGTACAGATGTATCGCTCCCCGAAGGAACGCTCCGTCCTTGCCCACGTCCTGGCGTGTGCGCAGACGTCCTAGCCGCTCGACGACGAGGACGACCGAGTGGAAGAGCGCGGAGGCGCGAAACGCTCGTTCCGCCGTGTCCGGAAGCATCGATGTGGCCGAACGTAGAGGAGGGCCACCCGATACAGGAGCAAACGAGTGCAATGCACTTGGACGGACGAAGACGGCAGGCAAAACGAGAGAGGAAAGGACAGGAGTCGCGCGTGCGCGTGACGCGGGGGGCACCTGAAAGGCCCGACGGAGATCTAGATGGAGTACGGATCGGGAGGGAGTGAAAGAGAGAGAGGTAGGAGGAACGTACACAGCGGCCTCGTAGGGCAGTCGTTCCTCCTTCGTCGTTCCTTCGCGAGGCGCGGAGCCGCGCTTTTAACGAAATTATTGCGTGGGGAAAAAAGCTCTCACGGCCCCTGGGCCACGAGCAACCCGACGTAGACTAGCCATAGGCGTGCCAGGTCTCTCGTCTGGAATTTCTCGTCGCGTGCTGGCCCGTCGTACAGTGCAAGTGCCAGGTGGAGAAGCGCGTGAAGGAGACGGAGGTGGGGAATAGACGCGACGTCGTCCTGCTCGTCGTCCACGGTCAGTATCGGCCGATAATCGAGGGGCTTCGTCCTGCCGGTGGTTAACGCGAGACACCCCGAACCTCCGAGGGACTAGAGAGGACTCCGGGGATCCTCGGTTTCGCGTCCACGCGATCGCCGTTTATTGATTTCCGCAGGAGCCGTACCCGTTTCGCTCGTCACGCGAAATTTCGGCCGCACAACATCGCGCGTTTCGCCGATCGATTCCGCACGCTCGTCCTCCCACCAGTCTCGCCTGCGGCCGACCCTACGCTCGCCTCTGTCTCTCCTCTCGGCGCTCACGCTTTTTTATCCGCCCTCGCTCGCGACTCTGCCACGAACGCCACCGTCAGATCGGCTGGAGGACGGATCAATCCTCCAGGAGGACGATCCTCCCGCTGAATCCTCGCGATCGAATCCCGTGGCTCATTACCGGATCCTTGGCACCGGGACGACGCGGAACCGCGTACCGCGAGTGTGTGCACGGGATGTGGACGGTTCAGCCACACAGTGTCGGTCGAATCCTCTGACGTTCTCGCTGGTCGTGCAGCTAGGTCCCGAAAGGATAAAAGACCGAGTTGAAAAAGGAGTTGTCGAACCGTTCGGGACGCTTTCCATGGGACGAGTCGACGCTGGAGGGGTCTCGCCGAGAACCGTGAGTCGAGTCGTTGCACTTTAGGGGTAAGGAATTCTCTTTCGCTCTTCCGAGGACGGTAGCTTCGATCGGGTAGCATCGTCCTGTTCCGAGGGACGGAATCCTAACAATATCCTCATAGTATCGGAGCTAAAAGGCTCCTTTGAGACGTCTTCAACGCGAAACAAGCACAGCTTTATTTTGCCGTGATAGTAATCCTGTCGGTCATTAGCTTGCGCGACACGGAATCTTCAGCAGCAGTGAACGTTCTCCAAAAAATCTGTTTTCCTCGTGACAGCAGTTCTATACTTTATTATTTTTACAAACGATCGCTAAACCTGCTGTACCCTGAGTTCGGAGGCATTCTCCTCGATTATTGCAATGAGCTAGAATGCCTCTGAACATTGTCCACTATGTAAAAGACATTTGCCTTTCATTTTTTATGCTTGCAATGCTATTGGTCGTTACCCTTTTCTTCAGAAGTTGTGATCCCAGAATTTGAATTCCATCCAGGGACTACAATAGATGAAATGTCCCTGAGTAACTTCCACGAGTTAAATCTGTCGTTTTTCTTTTATAATAGTAATCCCATTTGTTACTACGACATCCTAGCTAATACCGCTTTCAAAAATTGGGATCACTGAACCTAAATTTCTGTCATGGGTTACAGCAGCTATTGTGAGGAGCTAAAATGTCCGGAGTGATGCCCACTATGCAAGATAAATCCATTTTACTTTATTCGTGATAGTAATCTCATCAATTATTAGGATATCTGAGACGATACATCCTCTAATAAATTCTCATCATCTTAGGCTGGGTAAATTAATATTATTCGAATTATAAGAGTACAATCACGTTACCAATAAATTACGTAATTCGTTTATAGTTAGGAATTTCAAAATAAAAGTCGAGGTCTTGGTAGACTCACCGGTAAGGCTGATCTAGCAAATATTGCCCCAAACACGATAAGAATCCTATCAATCATTTATCTATGTGACACGAAATCCGGACCAATACTCTGTTCAACTATTCTGATCACTGAATGTGTGTTCTATCTAGCGGCATTCTCCACGGCTAGTGTAAATACTACAAGGAGCTAGAATGCCTCTGAGTGATGTCCAGGATTCTCAAGGAATCAGTCATCTTTCTTTCATGATCTGACGTCCTTAACTATTTTGACCACCGAATGTGATTCTCATTCAGGAGCACTCTCCATAGCTACTACATTAACTTTATTTCGTAGTTAGCTAAAATGCCCCTAAATGAACCTAACGATATGAAATAAATACGTCTTCTTTTTTATATAAAAGCAATGTTATCAGCCACTAGTCTATGTGACACGAAGTCCTAACCATCAACTTCTTCAGGAACTCTGGGTCCTACCCAGGAGCATACTTTCTTAGCTATTACAAATGCAAGTGTTCTTCTTTCACGATAGTAGTCTCATTATTAGTCTATGTGACATGGTTTCTTGACCTGTGGTGACCATTTTCCAAATATAGATGACGGAATCCAACTCCCATCCAGAGGCTCAGACTTCAGCTAGTGTATAAGTACCAAATACCCTGAGCTCTGCAATCAGTACTCCTCTTTTCGACATAGTAATCCAATCAGTTACTATACAACATGTCATGAAATCCTACTGAATCTGAATTCAGTGTCTACTCTGTGAGAACAATCGTCACCCTTCTTCCTTCGTATCAATTCCATCGATCGTTGGTCTATGTGACAAAAAATCCTGACAATTCCTTTTCCAAAAATTCTGATCACCGAATCCGACTTCCACCCAGGAAGTTACAGCGACTGGGACATGCCTATAATCTTAGAGAGATCGATGCTCCTCTTTTCATGATAGCAATCCCATCAGTTATTCTATGTGTTCACGAGATCCTGGTCAATAGCGAACCCCTCTCAACAAATCGTTATCAGAGAATCCCAGTTCCAGCTAGGGGCTGCTGCAAATGTCTTTCTTCTTTCGCGATGGTAATCCTATCGATCACAGTTCCGTGTGACGAGAATTTCTGACAAATCCTTCTCAAAAAATTCTGATCACCGAGTTCCACCCTGGGGCACTGTTGAGATCACCAGCGTAGACGGTGTAGACTCCGGAGAAGGATCTCGATAAACGCCATGGAAATCGACCCTGTCCGACGAGCCGCGATTAGAAACGCAATCGCCCTGGCCCGTGACTCGGAAATTAGTCCCGCGGATCCGAAAACCAATTCGAAATCTCTCGACGCGCGGAAACTTTGATGCCGCGGTGCGCGATCGTCGAGTGCAACGAAGAAGTCTCGCGAGCCTGGGAAGAAAAACGGGAAGCTGAGAGCCGAGTCATCGTGCTCGGGACAAGGAGGGCTCTTGTCTCTCGGTGTAGGTTAGAGACACTTCCGCGAGATCCGATCTCCCGTATCGATCGATCGACCGCCGAAGGGAGTCCACTCGAGTTTTCCTGACCTAAGAATACCGCCGCTGGAGTACCGTGGAACGGGGTGGAGTGGAGGTCCGTGGGTGGAGGGGGATCGAGTGGGGAACCCCGCCCCCTTTCGAGCGTCCTACCCGACGACGATGACTGCGGATTTGTCTTTTCTTTCTTGTCCGAGCTGCTCCTCTTATCGCCAGCGACACGCGTCGCCTCTCGAGGAGCCACGGGGGGTTCAGTAGCCCCAGCGATCTCCAGCTCGTCGGAGATTCCTGAGTCGGGATCGTTCGCATGACGCCGGCTAATTAAAAGTCCTGGTTACACCAAGGGGGTTCTTTGACATTCCTCGCGGATCGATTCGCGCGGTTGTCGTTCCTCTTCCACGGAGGGTTTCTCGCCCGGACGGTTCGACGATAGCGATCGTGGACAGGTTTGGACGGATTTTTGGAGATTCGGTTGACCAGCTCGGAGCGGGGGGGCAGAGTCTCACGGCCACGTGGCAGGGTCGACGCGAACACGTGCTTCTAGTTCGAATCAACTGGTATCTTTATTTCTTTTTTATTCTTGTCTGCCCCCTATAGAATCGAGACGAATGATGTTCAATTGACGAAGACTGCGCAGCGCTAGGAATGGCCCCATTCAGTTCCGTCTTCCTCGGCGTTTGGGGAGTGTTTGTTATCGTTTTGATACAAGGTATTTGGACACGCAGATGCGTAAAACGGGCAGCGGTTCTTAACCGGACGGTTGACGTTTCTTATTCGACTCGCTGACGGGGGTGGCTATTATTGTTCTCGGTAGAAGGAAAGTGTATAATGGAGACGAGTGGCTCGTTATTCGGGCGAAGTGTGGCCAAATATCCTTGCCACTTGACCCCGCCAACTGGTTCTAGGTTAAGGACTGCTGTTGCATAAATGACATCGCGCGAATTCTTGATAACGAACTATTTGCAGAATCTAGGCCCCTCAGTTGGGACGACTGGTGGACCTATGACGGTATTTCCGGTAAGGAATTCTACAATCACCGCTACACGAATTGCTCGTTAACCACTCGGCGATCAGAACTAAACATTCTTTACATTATTATTTTAAAAAAATTCCATAATTTACTTTTCTGTATTTGAGTATTCGAATAATTGCCCATGGAAATTCAAATACTTGAGTATTTGAAGATTATGTGCACTGATTAAGTATTTGGATGTTTGTAGTATTTTAATATCGTGGATCTTCAACGCAATTATATTTCGAATTCGAATACTCAAAAATTTGAATATTATTGACAATATCTCTAAAATTAGCATTCATCAGAGCTAGTTAAGAGTACGCCTCTTTCATTTTTAAAAGAAGTGGTAGAAGATACTTTTTTTTTTTTATTTCTGAATTAATTGTCGGAGGAGCCTGGGCGTTCGTTTAAATGATTAAGGGATCAGAGATCCCCGTCCTGATCCAAAAAGTATCCGGCTAAGACGTCAAGCTTGTTCCCGAGTGCTTAATTTTATAAAATGATAAACCCGTTAGCACTCGACTCTGCCCGATCCCTGAATAATTTCATACCCCCGTTAATCCCAGGGCTTAGCGTCGCGGAAACTTCGTTTCGAACTTGTTACCAGTCTCGAGGGTCTACGGTTAATCGATGCCCGAAAGCCTCGTTCGTGTACCTAATCGTCTCGATTTTGAAGGTCCCGGCTTCTGGGGTCTCATCAATCCCGAATGGTGGCTCTGTCACAAAGGCAGACGACAGTCGCCGGTGGACCTCGAGCCTTCCAGGCTCCTATTCGACCCGAACCTGCAGCCACTGCATCTTGACAAGCACGGGATCGGTGGAGTCCTAGCAAACACTGGCCACAGCGTGGTCTTCGCCGTCGACAACGACACGCGTCATCCCGTCAACATTTCTGGCGGGCCACTGAGCTATCGTTACCAGTTCCACGAGATTCATCTGCATTTTGGACTGGACGATCGAACCGGAAGCGAGCACACCGTGGATAAACACGCTTTCCCTGCAGAGGTAGGCGATTCGTCGAGTCATTAACATACTCCGTTGTTTTAACCTTTGTAATTGGAGATCCTCGAAAATTTTCATTTTCCGAGTTAGACCTGGATTCCATGAACTTGATCTCGATTTTGCAAAATTATACCCGTGTATTATTTATCGGATATACCGTACGCCTATCGATGAATCTTTATAATTTTGGACCGATGATATTACGACGATCGAGGGGAAGTTAATTTTGGAGCAAATAATGAAATTAGATTTATATTTTGGTCTAAGCAGTCCTCGGGAACAGAAACAGATTGAGTTATTTCGATCTAAGATGGTTTTCATTTGATTCATATAGCCTAGTGTCAAATGTTAATTCGTCTTCGTTCAGAAGAGAAAATAGAATTCTCCTTCAAATGGAAATAGTTTTTATTTTTATTCTTGTTTCCCGTTCTCGCGATTTCATTGAACGTTTCCTGTTGGTAATTTCAGGTGTATATTAGTGTCGAATAAAGGAATTCAGTCCTGTTCATTTATATCTACTTCACTGTCGTACATTGACAGAAATTTTGTTTGCGAAATATTAATTTCTTGTAGCTGTCTGGTTACCGATATTTCTTATCCACTTAAATTTCTAAATTGAAAGACCTGCCAAGATTTTTACAGTTATTGATGAACACCACCAATCTATCTTTCATGTTTATTATTGCAAAACTTATCATCCCAAACCTGTTTTACACAGGCTTGTTTATTAATTTCAATTTTCTCTATTTTATTTCTGCTGATATAATCTTCTTATACTCGTTTACGAAAATTATACGTGACCTAAAGTATTAATTTTACATTCAGAAAGTGAAAAAGCACAGGCGTCTGACTATCGCTTTACTCGTTCTACTTAATTTTCTATTCAGACAACCTACTTAGATATTCACTGTTGATACAGAAAACAATTTTGGTGTTAGTTTTCATCTGGTTATTGGCCTTCTTATTTTACTCCATTCTCTATGTAAACAATCTAGATGTACATTGTTTGTGAATTTTAGGAATGAAAATATTCTCCTACACATTTTTGTCGACTGATAGAGTTTGAAAAAGAGTACTTACTTTCTCTAAAATTAATTAAACGCTCTTACAACAATATTTAGCCCGATAACTGATAAAATATAAAGCGATACAGAAAATATTGCTTTTTCCGAGATCGGATTATTCGCGGACGATTATCGTAATTAAGAGCAAAGCTTTCACGAATGGACGTTTATCCTTTATTGTTCTATCTCGTTTCGATATCTCTGACATACAGCGGACACGTGGCCATTCTAAAGTTTTTTTTCTCCACCGCGAACCGTATAAAAAAATTTCCACGGAAGCTTTTCGTTATAACGACCTGTTGGTAAAGGTTCACATAATTTTAGCCCATGTAGTTTCACAGTTATTTTAGTACTTATAAAGAAATCCCCTCGACCTATATATTAAAAAAAATTCTAAATTCTCAGAAGCCACGGGGAAAAGGTTGCTGGGGTAATAATAAATATTTCCAATTTCATGTCGAAATTTGATCGCGTGTTTTTCTGCGCAAACAAACGCTGCCGCGAAATTATTTCCCCCCTCGCGCGTATCGAGCAAATTCACAGTAAAAAAGTTTCGTATTGCGCGGAGGTAACGTATTCCACGCACTTAAAAAGTATCGTAATTTTTAAAAATTTCCGATTTAGTTAATTTCACCCGCGAATGTACTTCACGTTGTAACCAGCAAACTGTTAAAAGCTATATACTTTCCGGCGCGTGTATCGCGATCCTATACTAGTAACCTAGTTGAGTAGTCTGACCCAGTTAAGGGATGAATACTTCAATTTAGGAAAAGTCGAACGCAACGGTTCCACATTAATCAGCTCAAATCACGCGATGGCGTAGGTGCAGTCAACAATTTCGATGGTCTAGACGGATTTTACGGTTAAAAAATTTCAGTAGTATGGGAAGATCGATAACCAGACATCCTGAACAGTTTCTAGGAGATGTAAAATGTTATTTTTACAACAGAATTTCGTGTGATGGAACCCACAAATCTGACCAATTTATTGGAAACTAGTAAATATGGTAAATTATTAAAGTACGAATATATATTATATCCACACTATGTTAACATTTATTTATGCACGTCCGTTTGAACGTATACAGGGTGTTCGGCCATCCCTGGGAAAAATTTTAACGGGAGATTCTAGAGTCCAAAATAAGACGAAAATCAAGAATATCAATTTCCTGATTGAGGCTTCATTAAAAAGTTATTAAAAAATTAAATTAAAAAATTTCAAATCGTTCTGAAAAAATTATTTTTAGTTGCGGGGGTCAATTATAAGCATTTTTGGTGAATAGGCATACCCCCGAAATCCTACGCACTTTCGAGAAATAAATGTTTTACCGCAATGTCTGACCATATATTGATATGTTTCCCTGAAATTTTTCAGCGAAAATGGAAAGTTTCAAATCGTTCTGGAAAAATTATTTTCAGTTGCAGGGGTCAATTACAAACATTTTTGGTGAATAGACATACCCATGAATTCCTACGCATTTTCGAGAAAAAAATTCGAGTAGGTGGACAGATTTTCTGATGAAATTAAACATTTTCGAATCGTTCTGGAAAAATTATTTTCGGTTGTGAGGATCAATTACAATCATTTTTTGTGAATACACATACCCCCGAAATCCTACGCATTTTCGAGAAAAAAATTTAGTACAGGCGGAACATTAAACGTTGATAACTTCTGAACGAATTTTCGTCTTATTTTGGACTCTAGAATTTCCCATTAAAACTATTTGATTTTTTCTGTTTAAAATTTGTTTGTATATCGAAGATGAAATTCTAAAAATGTATTTCGAGGTTAATATTTTCATTTAATCGTGGCAAATGGCGACAGTGCGTTTGAGTGATTATAAGCTGGCTCCGTGACGCTGAGTGACATGGTAGTCAGTGTGTTAAGCGAAATGTGTCGACGGCAGCCATTTGGAATTTTAATTCTAGGGGGAAAGAATTGATCGATAGCCTAGCGTGCTGAATTGGTTGTAGCAGTCGTCCGTGTTCGAATCCTGGTCCAGCAATCCTATCGACCGATTCTCTATTTCTCCCTACAATTTTCAGAAATAGAATTGGCCCTCGTGCCTCCGGGTTCGCTTCTCTTGTTTCAAATATTTAGTCCAGCGCGTGACCAAAAATGTTTCAATTTGTCGGACTAGATCAGTGCCAGTCTATTGTTTTAAATATTGATTTTTAAGATAATAGAATTTGGGTATGATTCGTAGTGTTAGAACAGAACGACGAGTCGTACGATAACATCTTAGATATTTTTCTTTTATAAAATTAAAACGATCTATTACATTTATTTTCTAATTTCCTGCAAATTCGAGGTACAAAGTGTCAGCGAACTGTGGCGTCTATCGCAAGCTAGCTGAGCTGTGGACATCAGTGTATTAACCTCAGGGAGCAAGGTTGATAAGTAGCTTAATTGATGAAACAAGTCGTTTGGAACAGGAAGTCTCGAAACCACGAATCTCTATTTAGCGATACTACTGAATTTTTTTCAGAAATAGGATTGGTCGTTGTGAATTTACGTTCATTTTCCAATTTCTTTGAATCTAGGAGTTTGAATTGTCAGTCAATTATGATATCTATCACGAGCTAGCTGAGCTTTGAACAAGGGAGTATTAACCTCAGGGAGCAAGGATCTATTGATAGCCTAAGTTGCTTAATTGATAAGACAAGTCGTCTGGAATAGGAATACAACAGAGATACTATTGAGCAATCCTATCTTTTGTTACAGTTTTCAGAACTGAGATGGTCGTTGTGTCAGTGAATTATGACATCTATCTCTAGCTAGCCAAGCTATCGATAGTCTCGGTTCATCAGTATTTTAAATATTAAACTAACGGATCACAGATCTCTAGATAGTATAAGTAGCTTAATTCGTTAAACCAATCACTTGGCAAGAATCCAAACTCAAATCCCGTTTCAGCAATCCTATCACCCTACTGTTTGGGTCTCTATAGTCCTCAGAAGTTGGCATTATCATCTTCATATTTAGTTCCCCTATTATTCCAAATTTTGAGTTTTATATAAAAACAATGACGTCCAAACAAATCGGCTCTTCGAATATTAAAGGGACCCTAGATACGTAGATAGTATGAGTAGCTTAATTCATTAAATCACCTGGCAAGATTCCAAACTCAAATCCCGATACAGCAATCCTACCAACCTATTATTATTTAGCTCCCTACAATTTCCAGAAGTATCTCAGTATATTCCTATTTAGCTCCCTTATTATTTACAATCTTGTGTTATGCAGATTGATATTTCAATAAATTAGCCAAACTTTGGGCATTTTGAATAATACACTGAGGGATCATAGCATAGTATGAGTAGCTTAATTCATTAAACCAATCACCTGGCAAGAATCCAAAACTCAACTACTGTTTGGGGCTCTCCATAATTTTCGTCGTTTCATAAATTTCAGTACCTCTACATTCTGATTAGAAACCCTATCGACCTTCTCCACTTTGCTAACGCCATTTTTTCTGTTTTTATCTCGCAGCTGCAAATATATGGGTTCAACTCCCAGCTCTACAACAACTTCTCGGACGCTCTGCCCAGGGCGCAGGGCATCGTGGCGGTGTCGCTGCTCCTCCAGGTACATGCCTAATCTCACCGGCGTATTTCAACCCCCGAAAGATCGAATCGCCGACGACGACGATAGATCGGAGTAAGAGATACGTCATAGAATACCCTCTCCGTTGGCTTTCAGGTGGGGGACCTCTCGAACCCGGAGCTGCGAATATTCACCGAACAGCTGGATAAGATCAGATACGGAGGTGAGAGCACGAGTAATTTAATACGCTGCTTAGAGAAAGCTTGACGCCCTTCGCGCGTTAGACAGATTCAAGTTTCTCGAGATCCTTCCGACCATAATAAGATATCGCGCGAACGAAAGGGATCGGGTTTAACCCGCGATTCACAGACCGAAATTACAGCAGCACCGCACGATGAGATCAATTTGAGTTGGTGTCTTAAGAATTGAGCGATCTTTCAGATTTTTATTGCAAAAAACCATTCGGTACATCGTTTTCAAACTTTGTATCGTGAATTCAGTTACGTTTTTCTGTAATATTGGAATTTTTTTGAAGCAAAAATAATATTATACTATTATGGAGTGTAATGGAATTTTGGGGGAAACAGAGTCAAATATGTTATCTTTGATCAAATAATTCAAACTAGGTCAAGCATTTTGTTTCGTATCTTAAAGTCTCGAGGTTCTTTACGGTGGGATAAGTCACATAAAGTGTGGCAGACTGATGGCGACGAAATTCGTCTTTGATATCTTATGGTTCTCCTAGGTCCTTTATGTGACATATGCGATACTGCTATGAGGTCAGCCCCAGAGGGCTGTACTGTCAGCCCCCCTCATTTTTTCAAACGCAGTGACATCTAATATTTCGCAATTTCGGATCAAGCCAGTGCAGAATATCTCTCGTCGTATTTCCCTAGCTACGCAAAACGTGAAAAATTATTTCCAATAAACGCGTGGACAGATTTCCCCACAAATATTTCAAAAAATAACATCGTCACTCTAATTCCTGGGAGAAGAATAAAAATATAGCTTCGTGTTTACGTCGAATAACTAATTCAAATCAAATTTAAATATTTTTTGGCATTTTATACATGTATGTTTTCGACTATCTGCATATAGTTCTCTTAAAAAAAAAATTGTATTCGTTAGACCAGAAGATGACATAATTTTTAAAATGTAGTACTTGAAAGACACCTCCAACTACACGTGAAAAGTACATAAATATTTGCAGTTTCGAATACAGAAAGTTTCAATGGAACGACTGTTATATCAGATACAGTGCTTCGAGAGAATACCCTGGGTCATATTGATTTCATCGGACCAGCCGAGGGTTAGGTATGTTATCTGATCCCGAAGGTTTTCATATATTTATAGGTACGAAATTCACAAAAGAACGGCTCTCTATTTTCACGCGTATTATTTCGAAAAGGCGCGTCGAATATTTCATGTGCTTGTATTCATAAGTAAATGAACGTTTCGAGCAAGGTGGACGCGAACAGAATCGCAAGTTTAAAGAAGTTTCGACGAAGAAAAAGGTGTCTGCCGCGAGCGGGGTAGAAAAAGACCGAAGGGAAAAGGTGGAAATAAAAGTCTTTAAGAATGAAACTGAATGTTACTAAGTTGAGGCGTTTCCAGATATTAAATTCCACTTTGAGGATACGTTTAATTTAAAATTCTTCTTTGCGCGATCGCGTTCGTATTTAAGTTGCTGTAAGGAAGGAGAAATTAATTACAGGTAATGGGTCGCGACTGCCTTCTTTATCGTTGTTCGGGCAAAGGTAGCGATAGGCAAACAAAACCAAAGAAAAGAATAATCTCCTTGGCGAGCATCAGCTAATTAAAGAATGATATTGCCAACAGTGATAAAAAAACATCTTAAAACACTGAAATAAAACTTGTTTGGTATACCGTAGATACACTTCCATTTTTCGGAACTTTCCAAATAAATTTTAAACTAGTCACGTGTTCGTTTGGGTCTAATAATTAGTAAGATACGTTATAGGTTCTCGCGACTAACTCGACATCGTAAGCTTGGGGTCATCGTTGTTAACTATTACATTATAGAATCGATATAGAATATTATTCTCTGATGACAAAATTAACTAAATCAATTGCAGCAGTATACTGGTATTATACTGGTAAATATAAATAAAATACCGGTACTTAACGGTATTTTTATTACCTTTTCTACTTCACTGTGATCGTAAATATGCGAAATACCGCTAAATACCGGTATTATAGCAGTAAATACCGGTTGTATTGTCATAAGCCTCATAGACATCGAAATATCGAAACACTGGAATATGTAAATACCAGTATTTTACTTGTATCTACTGGTAATATCGCTCTACCGTATATTAAAATGGAGCTAATCAGTTTTCACGAAATGAATACAGCTAAATACCAGTATTCCCACGGTATTGTTATCTCGTTATTGGCATAGTTGCGCTAGAATACCATAAAAATCACACTGGTATCGAGTCCCTGAATGACAGTAATCGCTAAAAAGTGTCTGCTGACTGCCAAACCTTTGGCCCGAAGCTTGCAATTATTTTCCCGATGACCCAGCTTTCCCGGGGTGCGTACCTTGATCTCCAAGTGAACGAACATAAAGCAGAAGTTGTTTAAAACAATGCGGATGCCGCGAAATAGGGGCAAAAATCGCTGTCATCCCCCGGGCGTGGGTGTTCCCCAGTTGTCGTAGTCACGACACACGCGATCGCGACACGGTGCACGTGTAGACCGGAAACTTGCTAACTTCTCAGCTCGAAATTGCCGTTGGTCCGTGATAGCACGCGAACTTTTCTCCAGGGCATTAGCCCTTAAGTGGCTGGGAACGCGCGACCACGTAAGGCGACGGGGGTATTAAGTTAGGCATAGGTGGCGTGTGTACGGGCACGTCGATGCTAATTGGGGTACGTATGCGCGTCACGGTGCTTGTCAGATCCCAGCGTTATCGATCGTGACCGATTGCACACAGGCCAAACGATGGAGATTAAGCGTTTCGTGATACGCGAGCTCCTGCCGAAGACGAAATATTACATGACGTACGACGGCTCCATGACGATGCCAGACTGCCACGAGACAACCACGTGGATCATCCTGAACAAGCCGATATACATCACGAAGCAGCAGGTGAGCATCGTCACGCTTCTCCATCTATCCTACGACGTGCCATCCTAGATGGCTATAGATTGTTCGAGTCACGATTCTTGACTGCGGACTAAGAGTTCCTTGCATCAATTTGACGATCACGGTCGGGGTACAATTGCAAATATCTAACTAGATACCCTCCAGTAGCATGTATGTCCTCGTAACGACTTGGTAGATAGCTCATCCAAGTTACCAGGTGCCAGAAATAACGTCACCAAACATTATTAGATACCCATTATTCCGAGTAGATCCTTTTGAAGAATCCATTTATCTCGGATGTTACTTGATCCTCGTTATTAATAACAGTCTACGCCACCTATAAAATAAATCTAGCGCCATAAGACGCTGCTCGCGGTCTCAGGTAGTCCAGGCCCATTTGCAGAATGTATCTAGCGCCAGCAGGCATTATTCAATCCTCGAAGTAGCTTACGTCAGTCTATAAAATACAGCCCGGTGTCATCAGACACTACTTTTCCAGAATATATCCAGTGTCATCAAGCAGCACTTAGGGTCTAATTACCCGTCACCTCGAGTGGTCCATTTCGTTTTGCAAAATACAGCCACCGTCATCAGACACTACTTCGAGTCTAATGACCCTCTAGCACAAGTGGTGTCTGACGCTAGGTACATTTTAAAAGGGAAACGACTCGCGGCAAAATAACTTTAACAACTTCAACCGTTGAAATTAATCAGATAAAACGTTAACCACCCTACACCCCATTAGTGGAGCCTCGTATTTTTTTGAGAGCAGACTTAAAGATTTAAATTTTTCTATCAGGCTGATTCCATTGGTCGCCTCGCGCCCCCCTCCTGTTTCATCAGCGTTTCGAGGTCCAGAAAATGATCGAGCCCCCAAGAAACTGATTGGAGGAGTGTAGCGGTGCAAAGCGAAATGAAGCTAGTGACCTCGATAGCCTAGATCCGAAGGTATCCGGGCGAAGTTTTGAATATTTCAAGCTAACGAAGCTGTTTCGCAACACAAAGACCGTAACCCAGAAACATCTAATTTCCAAAACGCGACTAGCCGCGAACATAAGGCTTTGCTATTCCTCTAACGGCGCCACAAAAGACGTAAGGCCAAGATTCTCACGCCCGATATCGTGCCTCCAGGGTCGTCCTTCTTTTTCGACCGAGATCGAGAAACCCAGCTCCGTCGATCGCTCACGGTCTAGAACTTTATTTCGTTTCGAACGGCGCCAGGGAAGGGATCGTATCTGGTCGAGACGACTTGAAGAATCGCGGTAACTCACGCACGAAAGTAGTTTCTGATGTTCTTTTAACGATTTCGCGTGGCCAGGGACGAGCGTAATCTCGCGGCGCGCAACGCGCACGCCCGCGCAACAAAGGAAATTGGTTTACGTGGGTTCTTTATCATCGCGAGATTACATTTTGATGACTTAATGCGTTTTCTTTCTTTCTAGATGTACGATACTACGCGCGGTAAATTATATTGTTGTATAATAAAATAAACAACGGTTACCAGGCACCTCTGTTAATCGAATAAAACGAACTTGGCGGTCGGCGTTATTACCTTTCGTTTGATATTAATTCGTTAACAATACCTATTATTCATCGGGAAATACATGATACATTTAGCTTAAATTTTGAGTACGATTTGGTTCGTATCAAATTGCACCTGTCAACATGGCTGAAAATCAACTCCCGTTAATGCTGCTTTAGTATTTTTAAATTAATTGATTAACAGTAGTCTCTTATTTACTCGTCATGAAAGGATAAATGAAATCCGCGAATAAATAGCTACCTTGTATTAATTCCCGGGGTAAATACTTCGAGATAATTGTTTTAAAATCGGAAATGCAATAATTAGATTTTATCGATCGTATTTTTGGTACGTTAAATCATTGAGTTTGTTGCGCGTTTCGTGCCCCGCGGGGACGGAGAAAAGTTCCCGATTAATTTCCAAATTATTTTGGCGATTCGACGGATCCACTTATGGCCGGCGTTGTTCCGACGCGGCGATTACGCAACGGTCCTCCCCAATTACACGCCCCGTGTATAATTTTTCAAAACGTTAAAAGAGCACGCTTTCGCTCGCTGCGTAATGAACGTCCGTCTGCGAATCAATCAGCTAAATGGATCGTATGCAGGCCGGCTGCAGTTGCACTTTCGAAAATAAAAAAAAAAGAACAGCCGAGAGGGGGGCGGGAGGAAAATGGGCAGCAACGTCGCTGTTTCATCTCCCGTTTCAATATTACGCGATCGAGTTCGTGCGTTGTCCTCAGAAAGCAGCACAAAGCGTCGAAAATGTGCGCGCTTCGGGGCCAACAAAGGGAGCAAACAATATCTCGAATTCAATAACTCGACTATCGACTTCCGACGGAAGTACCGCCGCGCCCTTTGTCGGACGTTTAAACGATTTTAATCCGATTTCTATTTTCGAGGTTAGTTTTTTTTTTATTTTCGAACGGTCCGGGGGTACGCGCGCGACCCGATTGCGGCCGCGTTTTGATTCGCCGGAATAAATTAACGAGGGTTTTTCGAAATGAAATATCGCTCTGTCCGGGGGAAATAAAAGCAAAGAATTGTCGAACGTGGATCTCGTTTTGCGAAACGGTTATCCGCGATGTGAAATAAAAAGTTTGCCTCGGGCCGTCCGCGATTCAATCGTTGAAAGCGTTTTGCAAAGAGTCGGCCGGAATTACGTTAATGGCAAATTTCACGCGATATCTCGCCAAGTCGTATTTTATAAATAATACTTCTCTTCTTCAGGATACACCTGACACACTACTTAGTGTTTATTGATCCACCATTGCAACAGATCTCATACAGATAGTTACTTCAGAAGATTACTAACTAAAGTCCAGGCCTTTTGCAAAATACAGTTACGTCATCATGGTTCCTCCAACCCCAAATACTTCATCTATTTCGCAGATTACACTTAACACCAAGGTTCACTGCTTAGGGTCCACCAACCTACTACCATAAGTAGTCCCTGTCCTCCTTAAAGACACACCTATCGACATCAGAAACCACTTAGGGTCCACCGAGCCACCCCATTAATAGAACATGTTCTTTTGCAAAATATAAATAGTTGGTGTTGACTACCCCAAGTAGCCAAAGTCCTTTTGGAGAATACACTCAGCGTCTAAGGCATGGTGTATCGATCCCCCCCCAGGCCAAGTAGGCCATATCTTTTTACAAATCCCAGCTTTTGTCATCGGGCATTACATAGTTTCCACTACCTCAATTGTTTCGCGTCTCTTGGTGAATGCCCCCAGCGTCACGAGACTCTATTTAGGATCCACTGTCCCCATTTACCCCTAAGTATCTCATGGCCTTTCACAAAATATAGCCACTGTCATCAGACACTGCTCGGTACACGCTATCGCAAGTAGCATCTTTTTATGCGTTTAGCGTCATCCATCATCGCGTGCACATACCAAACAGCTTAGTAGCTCCGCAGCATATTTTATGGAACAGCCAGCTCAGACATATTTAGTAAATAACTCGACCCGTACAAGCGAGCACGAAATGTAATAATTCGAGGGTTGGTTAATTCGCGCAGGAAGAACGAACTCAAAGGCTTACTCGTCCGCTGTAAATTTAATTTTCCCCTTACTCGGTTACTCGGAAAATTAAAGAGCGTATGCACCGAGCTACAACGTCTCCCGACGCGTTCTGAGTTGTAATGAATTCCCGACGTCGCGCGTGTAAATTTCCATGTTACCGGCGCGGGCGTATCAAAGTCGTGAAAAATGTTCCGTGCTTAAAAGAAATAATTGTTTAGCGCGTCGCGTGGACACACATTCCGGAATTAATCTCGACGATGCTCACGCGATTTATTCGCGGACGAGAAGCGCGCGGCTGTTCCTTCTACAGGGAAAAAAGTTGTCGACAAGAGGGGGGAAAAAAACAGAATGACGTCAACAGATTGTCGTTGAGAGCGAAACGACGGTGTAATTAATGGAGAGAACGAGAATTAAATTCGCGCTTGCATCTCCGTGTATACAGGGCGATTCATGTAAACTGTTACAAGCTTTTTTTTTTCTTAAACAGATGGAGATATCGGAATGGTATACCTTCGATTGTGTGTACTGTGTGGAGCAGGGAATAGAGCGTTTCAAAAGTTAAGATTTTGAGAACAAGAGCGTACAGGGCGTTTCAAAGTTGAAACTTGGATTTTTGGTTTGGAGGTCGAACGGATGCATAAAAATCGCGATAACATGGTTTTCATAAAACGGGCGCTTACGTGCGATTTCGTATGCCAGAAAGCTGGTACTTTGCCCAAAGGTTTCAACGTAAACACATCGGGGTTGCCATTCTTCTGGCAACGACAGGCTCCGATCAAAGATTCAATGGCCACTTTTCGCGGATGACACATCGCGGATACATAAATTTACAATGTATTTTAATAAATTTATCGGTAACACCTCGACTCGCGAAGAATTATACTTGCTAAGTCGGAACGCCGAGATTCCGTTGGATAGCGTTTTTCGGGGAAAGTTGCACCGGGGTACATCAAAGGGATGCAAAATAACCAAACCACGTGTCGCTGGTTATTCTGACAAAAAGTCAACGCCGAGACTAGCACGCGGCGATGTAAAGTGTGTCGAACGTTTTCAAGCTTATCGTACATCGTAGACTCCATTAGTGTGAAAAGAGTCGCAAAGTCAAGATTCGAGATTAGTGGAACGGCTGACCAGAGTATTTTTCAAATGAATTTTCTCGAAAACGGTAGCTGGCACGAGAAAATCGTATTTCGAGATAGAGGTTATATATAATATTCATTAATAAAAACGATACTTATTTTAAAACACCCTGTACACTCGGAAATTGTGTTTCTACGAGTGTAAACAGTCGTAGAATCATCGCTCCGTTGTACGATATCTATCGAAGGCTTCAGCTAACAAAGTAGTTCCAATTTTGATACTATTACATCATCGAGGGTGAAAGGTTATCGTGCGATAACGAACATATCGTTTCAATGCGTGTTTAGATTTCGAAACAAGCATTTCCAATTGCAACAAATATTTTAAATTCCATTGAAGAACTAACCCTTGAGAAAGGAGTCTCAATTTTTACAGCTGCGCGTACTAAACATGGAAAAAGGGGGAAAAACATTGTGTACTTTTGTCGTTGTAGCTTTTATCACTGCGACAACTGATGCAAGGGGACAAGGACCATCCGAATGCACCTCTTGGGAATAATTTCAGACCTACGCAGCCGCTGCATCATCGTCCCGTGCGAACGAACATCGACTTTAACTTTCAGGTATATTAAGAACACGCGCTTGGTGCGTGTAGTTTTGAACTTCACGATCGCTGACGATTGTCTAAACTTTTTATTTTGCTCCTCAGGGACCGAAAAACTGTCCGACGATGAATAGGGACATATATTACAAAGGTACGAGAAGCCGTATACAATGGCCGTGAGGTAAAATGGGAAAAGTTCATTGAATATTCGCTGGAACTGGGTTGCGCTTTGTTTAATTTCGTTACGGAGTATTTCTGGCCTCGCGCGAACGATAGAAGGTCCTGGCGAAACCTGAGTGATCGAATAGATTTGGGCATATTTTATTTACGGTATTAACGCGCTTTAACCGGCGAAGAAAAACCGTGTGTTGCCTCGGCAGGACCAAAAATATTTTCATATTAAAAGAAAAATAACGATTGTGACGATTCTTTCGTTCTGTTAACGAATATAAAAACACGTGATAAATATAGAACATTGATACAAACACATTAGAGTAAATAGATTAATCAGCAACGAATCAGAATGTCAAATATGGTTATGCGAGACTGTATAATACATCAGAGACAGCCCAATGTCAACTTGATAGTTAGAGGTCAAGCTGGTGTTTACGTTCGATCCAAACATTACGATATCTCGTTTCTTTGCGGTCTGCTATCACCAAACCAAGCTATTCAGCATTCAATGTATTCTTTCTCTATTGAATGTTGACAGAAGCAAATCTGCAATGCCACTGTATCACTTGAGACGTAATCTACAACCTCGAGTCAAGGTGACCTTTATTTACTCACGATAAGAAACTACAAACATACAGAATGACTTAAACAAATGAGATCATCGTTGGTTAAGATAACAGTAGTAAACATTATTCCAATAGAATGATTTTTTACAGAAAACTTTTGTTAAAATATGTCCAGTTCTGTCAATTGAACTAGTGTTTCTTTGCAATCATAACAGATCTCGAAACATGTCTGAGTCAGTATATCAGTCGTTAACGTAATGCTTTGTACTATATCCCCAGTCCGTTCTTACACATCGATACCACACCAAAGTCACTGTACACATCAGCTTTTTATAAATATTTTTATAAATAACAAGGGGAGGACGTTTTGTAATCCAATGGAGGAGGAAGGCAAATAGTCACTTAGTAATTCTTTTTCTATCTGGGTCAAGCAGAGCGTGCTACGTAACAAGTATTTCCAAGTCCAGTTTCCGCGAGCTTGATATTCCATGAACTTGACCCGATCCCCGAATAACGAATCTTCGAAAATAGCCGTACCCAATGTCTAGTCACCGTGCCCTTTCCGCGTTTGGTGTTGCAGCAAACAGCTGGAAATAACCCCGAGGAACCGAAGAAGACGCCTGGCGTTCGCAGTTAACTACGCTTTCCTTGGGACGAGCTGGAACTTCGCCGTTAAGAGAATAAAACCCATTGACATATCAATTAAAATGAAACGCGCGTGATCGGCGGGTCACCGTCGAAACCGATCGAGCAAGTCCGCGATGGCGCGTGTTGTTGAGGTCAGGAGCGAGTGAGGATGAGAAAGAGTGCGCAAGAGTGAGAGAAACAGAACAAAAAAAAAAAACCAAGAAAAATGCTTCGTTGTACTATTAGACGTGAATTGCCAAGTATGTTTCCAGTAACGAGAAAAAAAAAAAATGAAGATATAAAGAGATATATAGAGATTACAACTTAGCGGAGATAAGGTAACCGTAAGATTACACAAGATATATTATTATACGTATATCGATCAACTATCGAAAGCTATGACTATCGTGGCCTGCGTGGGAGGGGTTTCTGGGGGACGGGGGGTGGGGATGGTCGAGAAGAGAGATGCGACACTATGTATAAAGATTCATGCGTGACGGTGCACACACAGACACACACATACACACTATCGAACGAAAGTTTATACTATATTCTTGTAATAAAACGCTGAAAACGTAGAAGGAAGTACGGCATCGTAACCCTGTCTTCTGTGCGCGAAGCACTAGCGTAATCCCATCGATCTGTTCCACATCCCCCGTGTTTCACGCGTTCGTCTGTGTTACCGACCGAACGACTTCAGCAGCGCCCGTCGGTAAGAATAGCTATCGACCGAGAATTTCGCGTCGATAAAGAAGAATTCCTGATTCCTACTTACCCGGGCGGGTCGATAAAGTAGGAATCTAAGATAAAAGAGTCTACTTGCCGACTGTGTTCGTAAATTAGTCGAGTTCCCGATTGATCGAATCATCAACGGTCCCTAACGCCAATAAAATTCCCTGACATTTTCTCTCGACCCTAACTTAGGTCAACCCCCAACGTCGCCGAATTCCTACCGCCCGGGACGACCTAAGGGCTACCAGTTGGGCTATCCAACATCGCCAGATTCGCGGGGTGCGTATCCCCACGGGTGGACACACGCGTCCTGTTCAGGATTGCGAGTCGCTAGGGCCGGCGGGGAACAGAGTCAACGGTTATAGAGGCTAGTGCGAGCGGAATCTCGACGACGAGAGGACGCAGTTAGGGGTCGAAAGGTTGCCGCTGGTGGGGGTGTTGGGGTAAGGGTGCCGGCGAGCGGAATGGATTTCATTGAACCAGAATTCGACGGTGCTGCCCGCGGACGGTTATGCGGCAAGGGAGTCGAAAAGGGACAGCGACGGGTAACGAGCGAGCGAGAGGTCGGCGAATCAACGAAGAGGGGGACCACCGATCGGAGAGGGGTGGTTGGGAGCGCAAGAGGGAGGGGGTAGCGAGAGGAACAGACACGGGGATACGTAGGCATCGTGTCGGTGGCCTCTGCGGCAAATCTGCAGGTTTCCGTGGCGTGTGCGTTGGACGATAATAATCGCGAAAATCGTGACTCGTGGGTGGAATCGTCGTGGCCGTTCAGTTCGTTGTGCGTGATCGTTCGCGGCGGTTACGGGGTGCACGCAACGGGGGATGAAAGCCTTCGATGGAGCGGCGCGATCGCAGCATCCGCTCTCGCGTTTCCCCGCATATGTCCAGCTCTCGTTCGCGGAAACAGCGGTAGCCAGTGCGGAGGCTTCTTATCCGGCGGGCCTAGCGCGAAGTGATTGATTGATCGGCCAAGAGGATAATAGAAAAGAACGTCGATGCCAGTCGACGACCCCACGGCCCAGGTGGGGGGTGTCCTCTCGTGAGAACGGGCGAACACACGTTCGCACGGTGAGACTACGCGTGGAGAGGAAGCTGACAAGTGCATCGTGCCCGTCGCGCACCGTCCGTTTCTACTCGTTTCTCTCCGCGGGTTTACGGATATCGTGTCCGATCGCGACACGGACCCTGACGTCAACCTAACCGCGGCGATCGTCGCGTAGACGCCGCGGTCGCGAGCAATTCCATTTCCGTTCGTAACGTAGCGAGCGTCTCTTCTCCGGGGAGAGAATAAACAAAAGGACAGGGATCGTCCCGAACGGGGGTGAGAAGCGACGAACAATAAAGAAGGACGGAGGGTGAAATAGGGAGAGAGCCGCGTCTCTCCTCGCGAGTGATACAGTGCGCTTTCGTCTTTAATTTTTCAACCAGCCCGCAAGCGACGACGCGATTGGCCGGAACGTACCGGGAAACTTTCGACGCGAGTAAACGCGTAAGCGAATTTTGCCGCTCGTGGCCAACGCGCTTGGTGGCATGACTGTGGGTGTCGGGGTGACGCGAGCACTCACCACGCGCAAGAACACCTGGTGCGGATAAGGTTCCGGCGATCGAGCGTCGAATATCGGGCAGAACTCCCCTAACGAACCCCGAAACTCTCAGGTTCGCCGTGAAAGTTTCGTTGAATTCAATTAGCCGGTTGTTGCTGCCGCCGCTGCCGGTGGTGTGCCTTCCGTTCGCGGCCTCGGAACATCCGGGGAACTGCGTTCGGCATCGAGGAGGATTGAAAATTATTACCATGCTACCCGCGGCCGACTTTGTGACTAATTTATGATCGATATAAATTTTGCGGCGCATTACGCGGGCATACCATTAGCGGCGTCAGCAATTAATATGCCTTAGTAGGCGGCCGGAAATGCTCGGCGGGCGAACCCGCGGCCTGGAATCCTACAGGCTTTCGAGGCTCGTGGGCTCGAGAGATTCCGCGTCGCTTGTTCGGTCGCGTCGGGTGAAAAAACCGTTACATAATCGCGCGATTGTTGCTCCTTTGTTGCAGATTGAACCCGGCGAGGCGTGCGATCGGGGGAAAGTAGGCCGGCCGACGGGGCGCGCGCGTGCACGTAGGGCGCACTTAATCAGAATGAAATCTAAGAACTCGCCAACAATAGATTCGTGATGCCCGAAGGAGACCGGTCGGCGAAATGAAAGCCCCCGAGAAACAATGGAAGCGTCCACGCAAGCATGACGGCCCCATTCAGATCCGCAGACGGCATGCTTAGTGCTGGCCGAAGAAAACGCTCAAGTAAGAATAAGCAGAGCATCGTCGTCGTCGCAGGATTCGTTTCCTCGCGGTCGGGATCGAATAACGCTCGCTCGCCCTACGAATCAACTGGCCACTCAAGGCCACTTGCTCGACCGCCGGTCACGTCATGAACTATCTTTGTTCTTACGCTACGAGGGTCTAGGTTTCCCTTAGCCTATCAGTCGTCGAAAAGATTCCACCGGTTCGAAGTTGTTCAGATTTTCAACCCTTCGCATCGCATGCGACCGAGCAAGGGCTGCGAAGAGTGTCGCCTATTGGCCGGTAATCAATAAACATAAACAGTCATATCGCCAGTGGCCTGCTCGCTATTTAGGTTCTGTTTACATTGTTATGGGAACGCATTCCACAGGCGTCTAGAGACGTTTTACTCGTCTCGTAACAGATGTTTCCGGCTTGCAACGGTAATGCAAGGAGAAAGAGAGATCAGTCTCGAGTTGAAATGAAACGGTATCACGAGTAAATAGAACGTGAACGGGTGTCGGGTAACATTTTCTTTGGTCGTGCCCCTTAGAAGGATTGATTCGCCCAATAGAAGCAGCAATTCTTTCCAGTGCTGATCTTTTTCTCTCCTTATAATAAAACACATTATTGAGCGCGTTGTCTTTTACGGAAGAATGTCTAACAATCTGTTACGGAGGCAGGTATTGGGTTTCCAGCAATCCGTGTCTGTTTGTATCGCGTGGGTATTTGACAGCTTAAGATACTGTTCTCGTTTTTCCAAAAGTGTTGGATGACCATTGACTTGCATATCACTGATACCCAGAGGTAGCCTGTCGGTTAAAATTTTCTGTCGGACTACGCGAATAATGGAACGGATTTATTTTATTTTTCTTACGTTTTATGTCGGATTTTCAACTCGTTAACTACTGCCCGTCAGATTTCTGCGCGATATTGTACCTTCGCCTGCATACAAAATATTTAACGATTTTACCGTGTCAATTATACCGTCGTTCTTTGTTGCGTAACTAGCACGAGGAGAGGATTTAAATGATATTTCTCATCCTCGACGAACGCATTTTCGATTTCAGATTCTTCGAACAATGCGTGAAAATTACACGAGGTGAAAAATCCACTATTCCGTTGGCAATTCATCGATCCCTCTGCCTTCGATTCAACCTGCTTTTGAGCCCCCTAACTTTGCGAATATGCGTTATAACAAACGTGAAATATCGTTTGAATGTGTTTCACCGGGTGCCTCTGTAAATTTCCGCTACAATTGCCCTATTAAATGTCATAATTATGTAAACGAATTGTTGCGTCATTACATACATACATATTTGATATTTTTTATTGCTCGTGTGCAACGCTCGACAATTACATCCTGTTTTCATTCTATTTTTAACGTGTAACTGTTCTCGAAAAGCACCATGCTCTCGATCACTTGCGATAGAAAGGAGTTCGTTACACAGTTTTAAAATTCTCGTACCGTGTTCTCGTTTTACTTTCTCTCATTAATTCTGCTAATAGACTTAAGTTTGTTATTCTACGTCCGTGGTTTTACTTTTGTACAACTTTTTCCCCCCACCGTGGATGGAACCACGTTGCATCGAACAACGAATTAAAATTGCGTTTTATTTGTGATTCTCGTCAAAACAAAGCTGCCCAAATACCAACGCGCAAACCATAGGATCCAGGCGTATAGAGCTGTCTTTTTTACGAACAAAGTATTTGTCGTTCGAGCGAGAATGTTTCTGTGAATGAGTTACGAGCCTCTTAATTCTATTTAGAATTCTGCACGATGCTTGCGTATGTATTCTCTATCGGATTCTGGTGTCCCATCGGTGCTTTTCTATAGCTTCGCCGATCAAGGAAAGTCTCGGTGAAAAAAACGGTTCAAGTGTTAGTTTAAATCCGAGGTGGTAGAAGTTCATGCCCGAGATCATGGCAGTTCCTCGTATTGTTTCGCTCGGCGAGCCAGCTTTTGCATTTTCCCGTTGCTCGACGGCGGTTCCTTTCCGCATCAACAGACCGGGCACACGACGACGGAAAAAGAATACGGGGGGTCTTCAGTTTATTGTAAATGGAAACATGGTACGTCTACAGTGTACGCAAACAGTGGGGGTCTGCCCACATAGGTAAACATCGCAGTAGCAAGTCGGAGGGAAGGGGTTCTTCAATATCAGTCGAACGACTCGACGCGACGAATTCGAGACTAAATAGCGTGAACCAGTTTTGCATGGGAAAGTTTCGTCACGGGCCAACTGACGTGGCAAAAAGTTTCCTCTTTTCTCCTTTAACCACCGATAAAACGCACGGAGCAAAGTTCGTTTTACGCTCGCGTATAGGCTCGTTTTTAGTGAAAAGCCGCGAATCACGTTCCCGGCAGAGCTTTCACGTTTCGTAATAAAAAGGGTCTCTTACATTCTTTTTTATTAAGCAGTAGCGGCGACGAAATACATATGCCAGCAATGGAGACAGCGATAAACAACGCACTCCCCCCCGTTTTGTAATTTTTTCGTTCCGTTGCTCACCAGTCCGGATCTCTCGTACAAAATTCTTTGTTCTTCGTTTCCGCGATGCTCTCGGTCGTTGCTCGGACCGACGAGCACGTGTCTGTCACCGTTTAATCATACAGCGTGCGATAGCGCGTTAAGTAGCATCGCTTATGTCGAGCGGGCAGCGTGTTAATCCGGAAATTATCGCGCGTAATTTTACATGCTAGCACAAATGGGCTAAATGACGGAGCGGCCGTGCGAAGACACGGAATGTTTCAAAACATTTGGCGTGAATTGCGGCATTTAGTCGTCGCCGGCCACCCGCGCTCAGCAAATTCGCGGCTATTTCGGGAGTGTCTCCAAACGATATGCAATTCGGGATAGATTATCCCGGTTGCATTGCTATTTTCCGTGTAGCGGCGGTTCGCTGAGCGAGGATTAATTCAATCTACTAAACAGCTTCGTCGTTTCAACGCGAAACGGACGAAGAAGAGATATGTAAATGGACGGGAATATCAGAGTCAGTCTGTCGGAGGCGCTTCCAACGGGAGCAAGCAGTCTTTCTTTCTAGACAAACTTCTACAAATGTAAACCTATTTCGCATCTGTCACGCGTACGTACGTAACGAGCCACCTGGTCCGCGTTAGAAAGAGTTTTACTAATTTAACGATCGCGCTTTAGCCGTCTGCGAAGCCGGGAGATTTCGCTCGATAAACATCGTCTTGGATGCACCTAGGCGTTCATCGTGATTTTCGTGTGTAGTGGTGCTTGCTCATTATTATCCACGAACCAGAGATTATGTTAGTCGCTGTGCTCGAGGCCTTATTCCTCTAAACTTCGATGCACCTCGCAGACGTAGTCGAACCACAATATCCCGGAACGTTGGGGGTACGAGATGTAGCTGTAGGAGGCTTTGGCGTTAAAATTTCCAATTTTAAACACGATTCCTTCTCCTTGCAGATTTCTAATCGGTGGAGAGGCCGTCCACAGGACAGAATAGCAGCTGCGGAAGAGAAACAGACTGTGGCATGTTAGGGCCAATGCATCACCCTCTACGAGGGCGCATTCTGCTTGCCCTCTTTTTTCTACTTGGTACGTTCGCCTTGCAATCACGGGCGGCCGCCTTTCCGGATTGGACCGACTGCCCGGCAGTGTGTCGGTGCAAATGGACGTCGGGAAAGAAGTCGGCCCTGTGCCCCGACGCCGGCCTAACGTCGCTGCCCGCATCGCTGGACCCCGACATGCAGGTGCTGGACTTGTCGGGGAACAAGATACCAGCGCTACAGTCGGAGATCTTCAAGCGTTCCGGCCTGCTGAATCTGCAAAGGGTGTTCTTGAGGAACGCTGGCATCCATCAGATCCACGCGGATTCGTTCAGGGACATGAGGATCCTGGTCGAGATCGACCTGTCGGACAACCACGTGAAGGCCCTCGAGCCGGGCACATTCTTGGGCAACGAAAGACTGAGGATCCTAATTTTAAGCGGCAACCCTTTGACCGTACTGAGGAGCCACCAGTTCCCCGTGCTCCAGCACCTGCGAAACCTGGAGCTGCAAAGGTGCACGCTGTCGGAGATACACGGCGAGGCGTTCGTACATCTCACGGGGCTCGAGTTGCTGAGACTCGACCACAACGAGCTGGAGTATCTCGACGCGTCGGTGATATCGCTGCTGCCGCGTCTCAAGACTCTGACCATGGACGGTAACAAGTGGAGTTGCGACTGCAGGCTCCGCGACTTCCGCGTCTGGCTGATCTCCGACGTGCCCAGCAAACTCTATTCCGTGCCTCAACTGTGTTCATCGCCGCCGCGTTTGGCGGGTCGCAAGTGGGAGGACGTTAAGCCGACGGAGTACGCCTGCGAGCCGGAAGTTTACGTGCTCTCCAGCAGTATTCAGGAAGAGATGAACGGTAACCTGAGTCTGGCCTGCTTGGCAACGGGAGACCCGGAGCCCGAGGTCTGGTGGCAGCTGAACGGCGGTCCGGTGAACGCGTCTAAATTGACCGAGCAGATATACTCCGGCACGTACGTCGCGTACGCGACGTCCGACGTCGGTATGGCCTACAACGAGCGACCCGCGCCTGGGAGAATCGTCGACAGGTGGAACAACTTGACCGTCTACAACGCCAGCGACGGCGACGCGGGGGAGTACGCCTGTTTCGCGAAGAACATCGCCGGTCTGGCGCGGGACACAGTCAGTGTGGCGATTCCGCGTGTGTACACGGCGCCGACGCTCTCTCAGAGTGACAATTGGTTGTTGTGGGTCAGTCTGGCGGGCGGTGGCGCCGCCGCCCTGTGCGCCTCGATCTCCGCGGTGCTGCTGGCGCTGTGCGTGTGCGGCGGGACCCGTCGACACAACGCCCGGGAGAAGGTCAAGCTCCAGAGCAGCACGAGCTTCGGCGACCAAGAGAAGAAGCTCCTCGACCTGTCGGTAACGACGACCACGCCTGGGAACAGCAACGACCAGGGCAGCGGGCACGGCAGCCTGGTGGAGGCCTACAGTACGGGCGATCTCGAGCTGGCGGAAAGGGGATCGATCTGCGATCCGATGAGTGCCGCCACCGTCACCGTCGAGAGACTCAGACCCGAAGTGACCAGTGGTTCCGTGAACGCGATGAGGGCCGTGCCCTGCACCGCGATGTTCCCGCCGCCGCCGCCGGAATTCACCAGCGGCGTTCTGCCCGCTGGAATCTTCGGCAATATATTCATTTCGGTGTCCGTGCCGCAGGATTCCTCGGATCGCTGTTACCCAGACCTGCTCGACATTCCGGTTCACGGCGCGAGCAGCGTGGCGAACAAAACGACCGCCGTCGTGGCGGCAGCCACAAGCGTCTCTAGTTTTGCGACGCTACCGCGACGCACACTGCGATCCACCGATCTTTGTTCGCCTTACGACAATATGGGGCCCCGCGTCACGGCCAACGGAAGTTCCGCGTTCTCGCTGACCGACGTGGACCTACGACTATCGCCCCCACCCCCGCCGCGAATCATCCAACCGCCCCACGAGTTCGTATCCCTGTAAGGACACGCCCGGGGACCGGCTTTCGAGCAAATAGTCGGTATACTTGTTCAGAGCTCATCCGTCGCTTTCTTCCCACGTTCAGTCGCGTCGTCCTTAAACGGTTATCGTTCATTGTGTTCGTCGTCGACGGTATTCCAAGTGTATCTGCATTTTATACGGTGAACCATGGGCCTACCAGGCGAGACGAACAAAAAACAGTGGCTGTTTCGGGTCTACGATCCATTTCAGTTCGCCAGTTTTACTTTTGGACTATTGTACTTTACGCTGATCGACTTTGGTACTTTCGAAAACCAACGTTTCGACGCACTTATAATTTCACTCGGATATGTTCGTTCTCGCCGCTTGGTAAGCGAATGGCTCACATTTTTAACCATCAAAAACCACTCCTCAAACGTACATTGGGTAAGGTTGTATGCATACAGGGACCTAGAAAGTTTGTATCTCGTGCGTATATTAAAGACGTCCGGCAGGTTATCGAAAGTAGTATACAGAATATTTGATCGAATCCACTCCAGTTATGTCTGTCCAATCTATTCGATTATGTAAGACAACGAGTTTCGAAACTGCGCGTTCCCTTCGTCAAAATTCGCGTGTGACGCCAATGATTAATGCCACAACTGCCACAAGTACCTTTCGTTTTGTACATAGCTCCGAAGAAACGGGATTAAATTCGTTGCTAAAGCATCGGGCACACACACTAGAGGTCTGATGCAATGGCGTGAGGGACGACATTTTTTATACGAAGATAGTTTAAACGTATTACGGCTACGTCTTTCGAAGTTAACTGCTTCCTGATGCAAAATAGTCTTTATTACCTTGATAACGTCTACATCCCCCATATTAACACTTTCAGTTTAATTGTTTAATATGCCTTGTTTGTGAAACCTTTACCGTTTGTTTCGAATCTGCTAGCTGGACTTGTTGAATCAGGACACTGAATTCTCTTTGTGACGCAAAGAAAGAAGAGTTAGAGTACATTTTGATTGCAAGGTTTCAAAACACTTTCTTCTAACCCAAAGGAAAGGTTCCTTAAGGTTTCCTTTATGTTTTACATGCGAACCAGGCAACAAAACTAACAGCAACACTTCGCTAAATACAAAAAGCACCAAGAGGTTTTTCACCGAAGCGTATAATAACACAATTTTTAACCACTATAACGCACCGAATGTAACACTTCACACTTAAAACGGTGCAACCTTTCTCGCGTCTAGCGGAATATAGAAGCGATTCTCTTGCCTTCAAACATTGTTCTCGTCTCGTTTTTTATTCCACCATCTCTATGCACTCGACGATTAATAATCTCATCGAATGTTTTGTTTTAATGATATCGACGCTGTCCGGGGCTAGTGTATCTTCCTCTACAATTAATCAGAACAAATCAACCAAGTACAAATCTTCGTGATAAAGACAAATTAGATAAAACACGTCTATGGTGGGGTACCAAACAGAACACTGCCTGTTGAGATAATCACATAAGCACTGTCCCCTTGGTTGCATCGCACCAGGGGCGATTACACAGAATCAGCACTCTCAACTCTTCCATTCTACTCAGAATATAACTTTTCTTTTGCTTAAATTTGATTTGTCACCAACACTAACACCACGTCCATTAACTCCTTCCTGAACTACCACTCACTCTTTCGCACCCTGCACCAATATAAGTTGATACAGGGTCCCGGGGGCCCCACGTGGAGGTGAGGTGAGTGGATTTGACCAGAGTGGGCCCGCTAACTTCGCCGAAATTCTCTGCACCAGGCCTATCTACTGTCAAAGTAGTGGTCCCGGGTATGGGATAACATCAGCTAAATTGGGGTTTTCGACCTGATCGGAACCAGGAAGTCTCACTCCAGCCTCATACCCCCTTATAGCAACGAAAGGCTACCACAAATTTGTATTGTGTCCATTCTCGACAGAAAAGTCAACGAGTGTTTACACCCCCCACCATCATAGAGTGGGGATGCAAACACTCGTTAGCCTTATTCTCGTGGACGGACAGTACTCGCAATCACCCCCACCGCTGTTTATATTTCTTCGACTCGAGTGGTCGACGGTGCAATTAAAAGTCCATTCGAGTTCGATCTATTTCGAGGAAGAGGACCACCTTAGTCTCGGTGAAATGTCCCAATTGCAAGAAAGGAGGCAACAGCGTATAAAGGAAACAGTGATTAAGCGAACCAGCCCACGTCCGAGGGCAGCCTATTAAGTAACCTCGCTGATGAGTTGGCTAGCAGACTCGGGACTAAACGCACATCCCTCAACCTCCTCCATTTCATTCGATCATCCTAGAACGGCCAAAACTAATCCTCACGTTTCACGCCGAGCGCACGTAAGGCTAGGTAACGCGCAGTTTCGAAAAACAAGCCCCTCGGTCTGTCTGTTCGCTTGTCTGCCTGGCTTGCATGCTTGGTCAGCGTACAGTGGCTACTCTCGCAGAGGAAGCGTGTACGATGAGCGTGTGCGTGATACGTGTGTCTGTGTGTGTGTGTGATTAGACCTAAGTCTCTTCTAGTTGCCAATATCCACGGAGGCAGGAGGTTTGTACATAAAGATCCCGAGGGACTCCCTGCGGCGGAAGGAAGGACGAAGTAACGTTACCCCGGTTCTCTCCCTACTCATTCTCGAAGTGTATCACTAGTTTGTTACCGTACTCTACGTGTGTACATATTTGTTATCGCAGTACACGTATTATAGCGTGGCCCGACGCGTCGCGTGCCCGCGTCGGTATTCATTATGAACACTTTGTCAATTAATAAAACGATTGAATTTTACATACATCGTGTCATCGTTCTAATTTATTCCGTCGGCGCGGCGATCGAACTCGCGGCCGCCGCTCGGACGGAATCTGTTGGCTTTAAGGTGTTAATTTTCGGGCATGTGGACTTTAGAAGTTGGTAACAGGAAGCAGGTAACGAGCCGAAAGCAGAACACTGTGTCGATACTGCCTCTCTGTGTAACGGTTAGACGCGGCTGCGGTCGTTGGATCTCGCCGTCAAGTTTTCTCCATTTTTAAATAAAAATTAACAGAGTAATTCCTTGAACGATGCTCACCAGGGTATCCTCAAAACATGATACATACGTTACTTCCTTCCTGATTCTGGGTAACTGAAATTTCTCGTTAGGGTTTCTCTAACTATTTCTACTTTTCCGTCGACCAATAAACTGGCGAGGTTGTTTTGAAGGAAACCAACCCAAACACGATCTTGTTATGACTCTTTTTAGTCGTACTAGTTACCAGAACATCTTTCAAGAGAATACTGTGCAACATTTACAGTAATACTTTGAATTTCCTCACTAGATTCCTTCTTCCATCTTGAAAGGATCCTATTCCAATGTCAGTCATCCTCGTAAGGGTGGTGGAGGGGTAGATAAAATTTCTCATTATATCTTATGAGAAAACCAAGTGTACTAGTTCTTGTAACGGGTCAGGTAGGTAAAAGAAAGTAAATAACTTGACAGTAAATAGTAGAAGAAATTAAAGGAACGAAGACAATAGCTTGCTATTTGGTGCCTGTGAATTAAAGGGGTACGGGAGACAGTCTAACAATATTAAAAATAATTTTCAAACTTGGTTAACGCAAAATACCTTCTATGATAAAATTGGACAATTCTGACCAACGTAACGTAATATCTCCCATTAACAATGTTCGTACAACAATATTCCAACTGCAATACGAACGAAAAAAACTTTTGCATAGAATTGAAATAAATATGTATGAGATCGAGGGACCGGAATCGAGCAATTTTTCTGATCCGTGGGAATTTTATTAAACAAACTCGGATATAGTTTCGCTAAAAATGAATTTCGAAGTGTGCGATATCTATAGGGGGGTTTCTCCCGTGTACATATCTCAACGATCGTCGTCCGTATTCCAATTTGAGGAAAACGTTCGACGAGAATTTCGAGGGTCGATATCAATTGCTAAGTGTGCTCGCAGCGAGGTGGAAATTCAAGGAAAAATCGTCGGAAGAGAAACGGGATAGGTGCGTTCGTCGACGAGGGCGGGAGGGGTGTTCGTTGAAAAACAAACGTAATTTCACGGCCTTTTATTACATCCTTTCTTAAGTCAGCGAAAACTCTGTTGAACGAGCTACGTAGGTTCGCAATAATCGAAATAAATACAGATACTCGTGTCCGTTGTTGTTTCGTGTACATAGAATCTATCGTGGGCTATAACTTCTTGTACAAAGTTTAGTTAACGATGTGTACCGCCGGCGGGAATTAAAGGCAGAGATAGGTCGACGACAGAGAGCCTTGTAGATCGCGTTGTACACCACGTTGCGTTCTCCGTGTGAGTTCCGTGGTGTCGAGGGCCGTGTTGGCACGGAAGATCATTTGCAGATACCTCGTTCGGCGCTGGTCTCGCGTCCTAATCTCGGGGTGTAATCGTTAAGCGATGTTTGACCGTTACGTGAGCCTGCAAGCGACGATCGGTTAGTTGCAAAGATATTAGTACAGCTATTGGTTCCACTGAAGCGTAGACGATGCCATCCAGGGACTGTTAGGAAACTATAGATCGAATCCAGGCACATGGACGGTCAACGGATAAAGAATCTTCTTGGCTAAACTATCAAATCCAGTTGTTGCAACGTCCAGGTCCGATGAAACGATACAGTACACTCGTAATTGTTAGGTCTAAGACGTCTTCGATGATCCATGGGTCTGTTAAAATGATAGTCTACGACGGAAGATTCACCGAGGGAACTTGGATGAAACATTTAGACACTCGAGGAAATTGTGTATAAAAGATTACTCTTTCTGGCAACAATTCTTGATTCGAACATTGAGGAAGTGATGTCTGTGATAAACTCTAGGTCTATCGAAAAGGTACAAAGTGATTCTTGGCACTCGAACAAGCCATACATTACGAATTCTTCTTCTTGGCTAAACGGTTGACCCCAATTGTTAAGAAAAAGGCATTTTTAATGGTACCCAACACTGGTAAGAAAAGAGGATCTCCAGGTTCCTTTAGCGAATGCAGAACGCTTCTTCTTGATTAAACTGTTGCTTCTAATTGAGCCTTGAGACAATATAGATGACTGGTTAACAAAAACAAAAGTGATTCTGTGGCCTTGTAGAATCATTAATAAATAGTTCTTTTCCTTGGATAAATTATTAGTCGAAGACTTAAATTATCCATTATGTCATTTGATCGATGAATTTTGGATCACCCTGCACGATAACGCGTTTTATTCTGCGCAAATGCGATTGTTGAAATGTAACGTATCGCGGTGAGGGGGCGAAATACGAGCGGCAAGGGGCGAAAAATTAAATTGGCATTTGGATCCGGTGGGCCGCGTCAACAGAACAGTCGCGATAGATTTTTGCTCGCTGATCACGTATCAGTGGGATAGATTTTCACACGGATTCGGCGTCGCCAAAGGCACTTGGTGACGAGCGCAGTTCTGCGACCAGAAAAATGCTAGACTCGTCAAGACTAAACCAGTTGCGTCGAACGATCGAGCTTTCGACAAAGGAACGATACACGTTAGCAGAACACTATACAGTACTGCATCTTTTCTTGCAATCGAACAGGGACAAGTTAGGGTTGCACTTCAACAAGAGCCCAAGGAACACAAACAAAGGAAGAGACGATTTGTTGCAAGTATCCCTAACGCAGTTTGATGCAAGAAACGAGGCAGTACAGTCGCGATTATTGCAAGAAATGGGGACAGAAAGTTCCTACAATGATCGAAGTAAACAGTCCACTAAGAAGTAGAGCGAACATACAACGAACGAAGCTTTTATGCAATAATCGAGGCACTACTGTTCGTACCCAAACCTCTCGAATTGAACAAACTCAGTTCCAAGCGTAGAAAAATGTCGATCGTTTGCAAAATCATAATCAAAAGCACGCGAACGATCCTTCGTACCTTGAGTGTTGGGGAATAGCGATCTGGTATCGTCGATCTTCTGCGCTGAGCGATACTCCTTCATACGTAGACGATCGGGGATCAGCCAGGCTGCATCCTTCAGATTTTTGTTCTTTACGTTCATCGATCTTCTGGCGTATCCTGATACAAATATTATTAACTCCTAATCCAGATGAACAGCGCTTAAAATGATATTTCTACGAGCTTTGCAGTTCGTTCTCGATTCATAGAAACGAGCGAGCAAGAAATTTCACCTTCGAAGTCCTGGTCCTCGGCATGGTCGAGGTCCGTGTCGTGCTCGTTATAAAATTGAAACTCCGCGTCGGGTTCCATGTCACGGTAACGGTTGAAATTGATATTAGAAATCGGCATCTCGGAGCGGCCGACTCTGGGAAAATTCACCAGGCCCGAGGCGCGATCTAGTCTCGAGAATCCTGCCATGTCGGAGTTTCTACCGATCCTGGGATACGGCACCAAACCGGACGCGCGTCTATTGTTCGCCTTTAACTTTTCTCCCCCTAAAATACCAAAAGATAAAAGTAGGAGATGTCCACTAAAAATTTATAATCAAAACAGTGAGTTTGGAACGAAGAATTAATTTTCGTCGGGCAAAATGATTCGAAAATGGCCCCGTATATCGTTCGCTTGGAAAACACGCATGTATTATTCTTTTTGAAGGAAAAGGTTTGGCGAACGAAGAGAGGGGGGGCGGGATGCCTTGAAACAGAAAAATGGTCGAAAATGGATAGCGTCGAATGTTCTCCGGTGTAACGAACCGCGAAATGGAGAAAAATATGGAAGTCTCTGCAGCCGGATCGACCGGGAAAGCGGATCGATCGCGGAGTACACACTTACGGTTGAGAGAAGTGGAAAATATTAGAACGACCAGGAATACAAATAGGTGATTTGTCATTGCAATGGCGGCAGTCGGTCTCCGTGATCGAAATTCGATGAAGCGATGCTGCGAAGCGCGAGATCTAACCGGCACTGAATACCTCCAGGTATCCGACGTCTGATTTTATACCTTGCGCCGAGACCAGTCACGGGTCCTCGCCGCCCCCCGAGCCCCCGGGTGGTTCAACCCTCTCGTTTCACATTCCCCATCTCGCACTCTGCCCTCACACGCCCTCCAGTGTCGTTTTCATTCGCTTATTCAACGCTCGCCTCACCGATGATCAAACTTTCGGACCTTCCGGCGAGCGTCTTCGTATTAAAACATTCTTTATGCAGTCAAAACGAGCAACTAAAAACGGGGGATACTTATTTTCCATTTAAGCTGCGGCGGGTGAAGTTTATCGTAGGATGCAGCCGGCTGGTAGTAAGTACGGTAGGTTGAAGTACGTTTGAGAGGAGAGGAATTAATTAATGAATCTCGAATTTATTATACTTCGAAATCGCGTATTTATTTTTCTACGCCATCGCCAATGAGCGGAATATATTTTTTCAAAATGCTGTATCCATTTTGTTCGGCCACTTCATGAACAAACACTCCGGTTCACTCTCGATCCAATTACGCACAGCAACATCGATATTCGATGGAAAATGTTGACCTTTCGGTATTTCAACCCTCGAAACAACCCGAATTTTTATGCAGAATTGGGGATCTGCGTGGACTGTAACGTTCCAACGTTAAAAATTCTATCAACGATCGTTGTTTGATAATCTTGTGTATTTCACTCGAGGCATGTTGAATGGTGAACACTTCCTGAGAACTCGGACAGACTAAGGGTAAAAAGGTGTTGAGAGAACTATTGTTCCCAGTTGTTGGACTTTCTTTGAAGTCTCCAGTGATCTTTGGGTCTCTAAACCGAGCACACAATGATTTTAAACACTTGGGCAAGTTATACAAAAACAGTACTTATTCTTGAGTAAACTGTTGACCCCGGTTCTTGAGCATGGAGACGTCTTCAATGGCGTTTGAGGCTGTTAAGAAACCGGCTACGAAATATACAGAATTGTGTAAAATTATAATTTGTTGGGCATGAGATGTGTCCCAAGTAGTCTCGTTTCTTAAGGGGCCGCAGAGTGATTCTTGCAACGCGGTCCGTGTATAAACAAAAAATTCTTTTGGCCGAGAATCTTGTCGCGGCCTCCATTGTTACGGGTGAAACATTTTTCGTGTAAGGTCGTTAAAGAAGAGTCTTCATAAAACTTAAAATGTTTGCAGAGCAGCTAAAAATAAGGTGTACGTATTTTCTGTTTCAGCAGCGGTGAGTCAAGTTTGAGGGGCGATGCCAACCCCCTAGAGTTTCAGAGAACGCGGATGAACGGTAGAAAGTAGAACATGCTACAGATGAAGAGCTTAAGGTAATCTTATTTGTTGGATGTGAAATGTGTTTTGTAAAGCGATTTTAAAATCTTCAATTGGCTTATGTGCAAATTACCTTTGACAAAACTGTTGACTCTAGATTCTAGAAGAAATCGTTTTATCGTCAACGACTCTTGATACCCAGGTTTGGCGCAACGTGACTCTAAAAGCTTAAACTAACATTTTTCGTGTAAGGACGTTGACCAAAATGTCTTTGTGAAACTTTGCACGTTTCTAGAGGAGCTAAAAATAAAGAACCTGTACTTTTTTTTAGCTATTGCAGTTCAAGTTTTAGGGGTCAACTACCCTCCAATATTCCAACCCTCTGCTGCTACCATCAAAACTATTAGAGATGCAAAGAAGTCTTCTCAGCATATACGTTATGGTTTTTTTACGGAAAGTAGCGCGTGTACACAACAGTGATAAAATGTTAGTGAAAATGTAAAATTCCCTGGCTACGAGTTCCCTGAAGGGGGATTTTAATACAGGTAAAAACACGTTGAGAACAAACATTGTTCTATAAACAAAATATTTTCGTACTAAGTTCGTACCGCTAGAAATCCTTGAATTTTATACGAATATCATTTTTACGAGTAAATACGTAGTTCGAGGCAGGACATACACTCTCCCAAACATTTTGTGGTATGATTAATAATTGATCGAGACTATTTGGATAATGATATTTACCGCCACGCCTTTTATAATAAAAGGACCACGCAAGTTCGTGCAAACAACCAGGACACCAATTAATGTTTACCGAAATTGTTGGACATCCTCTATAAATCGTATTTCGGAATTAACAGAAACCGCTTTGGTTCCTCTGTATTTAATGCAATGACACGGAACCGCGGGAATGAGTATCGGCCCCGATATAAATTACAAGTTAGGGTCGAATTGATTTCTGGGTCGATATATATTGTCCAGCGGAATCGAATTTTTCACGAAAAAAAACCCACGGTTTAAATACGAACGTCGAAATTCCGACACCTCGATACTTGAATCGATTTAACTGAAATCATTCTTATTCAATTTTCCATGCCCGAAACTACATTGAAATCGCTGTAAAATTTCAGTCACGAGTGGTTGAAATTTTTTAAATATTAATCGATAAAAAAATCCTCTTTATGCGCCCTGTAACGTAAAATATCGAGTGCAAACAATTTTACAAATCGCACGGACAGTGATTTGAAATTTATTTTTTTTAAAACATGCGCCGAGCAATTAACGTGAAATCGATTCGAATACAAATTGTGTATATTCCAGTCAGCTTAATGGTCAGAGTATCCATTACACTAATATCCAGTATTTCTCACCGATAATTATTTAAAAATAGAAACAGAGGTATGGAATCAATTTTAAATAATAGGAATTTTTTACCTCTTAATATTATTCGATATTCTCAACTCGTTATAGTTAACGAAACGAAACGAAGAAATCGTTCGAGCAACAGTAATTACTCTGCTCTAACAATGAAGCGCGTGAAGCCGTTTTGCAAGTAACGGCGCTGTTGTTACCCAAACGGACCACGCGAGATCAAATAACTCGTTTCAAATAACAAACGCAATTCTTAATATCCGGCAAGTTTCTCGGAAAGCCCCGTAAAAGTCGAAACGATGCATCGCCGTCGGTATTTCTAGCTGTTTTCAAACTGTTCAACTTTCACCGATACAATTATTTTACAGGCTACGCCCGTAAACAAAAAAGTTCATCCTTCGTTAGCGCCTTGCGCAATAAAACGGTTTTACGATACTCGGTAAACTGCTCCCGAATAATTACTCCCGAATAATTCGCGGGAATTGATGGCCCGTTTCACTGACACTTCATAATGGAAAATATTTTCAATAAACTACTGTCAAATCCGAGCTTCATCCAGGCTACGCAATCTACGGTCAGTCCTTAAGATCTACCGTGAAATTGAGGCAAAATGAATTAGCCGCTCAAGGCTATCGAAAGGCTTCCCCCACCATACTGTCGTTCATTCTTTTCCAAATTATATTTTCTAAAAATGACCAACACAATCACCGACGTAAGATCATCTTAGAAAATTTTCGCGGAAACAATAGATACAGAGTGGTAGAATTAGACCCACAATTATCATAACGCTTGCAGATTTTCTCGAATAAACGACGGTCAGTGGAGGGGGGAGCCCGTTAGTGACCTTGAACGGCCAACTTATTTGGCTCCAACCACGCAGACCGAGTCTGACGAGTCCAGTAGCAAGATTCTCGTTAAGACACTCTCGTATTTTCTGTACAACGCCGTGAAACGGGAGAGTTTGGTTTCGATCTGCCTAAACCCGTGTACGTTACATTTGAAATCGGATAATTGTAATGATTCGTCATAATCCAAATCCACAGTCGCGCGTGTTGTGCGGCCATGCCCATGTACACAGGATCGAACACCGATTTATAAATGCGTGATGTGATCAGAACGGTACAGATTATGCCGCATTACGCGACCGATCGTGATGTATCCGTGATCGTGCAACGCAGGATATACGGATATATTCTTTAATCTCCGCGACACCATACTGCACATTTTTCTAGGGAGACCAGCCGCACTTGTTCAATATCTCCCGGCCTGGATACGTTTCGCCACCAAATCGAATACGAGAACGAGACGTATCAGTATCGTGAAATCGTTAGGAGATTAGTCGGATGCTGATTCCTACGATAACAATCACAGAACTAGCCTGCTATTTTTACTAACAAAAAATGGAGAGAGCTATTAAAAATAAATCTTTAATCAAAGATATGCCTTGGAAGCATTTTTTAGTAAATGTTTCGTATGATCTCGTAGATCTCGATTCTTTCAGTCACTGCTGTCCAGACGTCTGAACAGTCGCATAATTCGCCAGATCTTCCGGATACCGACTGGTTTGCATGAAAATAGACACCATATACATTCTGAGCGTAACTGATACGGCCGTATAGCTTTGTAGAATATCAAAGGTGTATCGATTGGACTTGACTACCCTCTTCGTGGCAGATCAGTACAAAACAATACTTTTCTGATTCGGTATCGCCTCTACCGACGTCCGCGGATATCTCGAGCCTCGAATAATAAATACATCGAAAACGAACGATCGATATGTAGCGGTGTTCTCAGAGGGTAGAAAAAAAACAACGAAAGATTCAGCGAGGTCATCCGTGGCATCAATTCCCTTCAGCAGGGCAATTTCCATGCAAACCTTTCTATCTTGGGCGGCCGCCTTAGGCCTAATTTAATTCCGTCATACGAGAACACTTTCGTGAACGCCTCATTTGCATTCATTCGCGCGCTAAGGCTGCGTCTCATTTAAATACAAAGGAGCCGAGGACACTGCGTGGATACGCGGCATATTTAACGCTTAAGATCTATCATTCCGTGTTACGTTTTAATTAAGCAGACTTGTGGCGCGTGTTTATTTTGGTGAACGCTAGGGGCAAATGGCGGACAAAGGGCAGCATTCAAAGGTCTGATTCGAATAAAGAACAATTTCGACAGTTTCTGTTTATTTTAGCTAATAGACACGGTCGTGTCACGTAATTTGTATTTAAAAAAAAAAATGCAAATAAGATTTGTCTTTCTTATATCGAAAAACAGGGAGGAAAATGCCACGCTTCTTGCACCTTGTTAGGGATGCTTGCAACAGAATCGTCTCAACGCGTAAACCCAACCCAATCTGCAGACTTAAATAGTCAGCAATTCTGTAATTACAGTACTGCAAATTAGAATAGAGCTTCGTCAGAAACCTTTTATTTGTTAGTAATTTAACGGTATGAATTAAAATTTCCTTTCCGAAGATCAACAATGTTAATCGAAAAGTTAAAATACACTGGGTTTGAAACGACAATGTCTCCAAGGTATTATTCGAATTAAGTAATATTGACTTCCCTTCGTCCCTGCATCGTATAGACTTCATTAATGTTGTTTACCAGGGAACATTTTCTTCCCGATTACGAGGATTCGCAAATATGGTATTCAAAGGGAAGCGACTGCTGTCGGAGCGATGCGCTTGAAAATTGAAACGCTTCATTCTTGTCTAACGAGCGAGATAGGGAACGGGGTTGCTTAGTTCCCCGGGCTTCCCCTAGCGCAGTCACTGCGCCTATTTAAACTCCATGTCTTTTTTCACAGACGTTCTTGAAAATGCGCGGAGAACTCGCAAATCATTGTGTTAGGCACAATGAAAAAGTTTCGTTGAAGTTGCCAAGGTATCCCCCATAATCGGGAGCTTGTCAGCACATGATGAAACAAATTTATGACAAAGGCGATGGGCAGCGGAGCTTCCTTTAAAAATCTTTCTTTTTCCTCCAACAAAATTCTTTTTCTTTTTCGAGCGAAACAATGTTTCTTTTCGCGTTTATTTGGCTTCGCTGTTCCGCAAATGTAAATTCTCTCCGCGGACGATTGTCCGTTCTTGTGTAAATTTACATTTTTATAATTTCTTGCAAGATATTCAGGTTTCCACCATTCAATTCCATTGTGTTCGTTGTGTGTGTGTGTGTTTTTTTTTTTGCTCCCTTATTCTTTTTACCTTTTAAATTTTACACGTGTGCTTCCTCCGGGTTATCGCGGCCGAAACAATTTCAGCCGCGGCGTTCGCGTTTTAACCAGAAAAATGCTCGATCAAGTGAAGTGGTAGGTCGCTCTTAAAATTACCGTATCTGGATTTTATTTTTGTAACGCAATTACGTCCGGCGGGGGGGGGTGGATAAAATACGAGTGGCTGTTTATGAGGCTGCAAGGCGATGGTGAAAAATACGACGAAATCCCATGATCCGGTAACGTGAAATTACGCAACGTGGGATATTATGATCGTGACTAATGCTGCGCGAATAATTAATCCCATTTTTCTTCGGTGTCGACCGAAATCACGGTGAGCTTTACAATATTAGCCGCGTACTGGGAGACACGAAAGCTTCATCTTCGGAAAATGTAGAATCTTCCAAGATTATTATCGATCGCGATGAAAATTGAGCAAGCATGGTTTCAATTATTCTACAAGTCAAATAAAATTCAAACTGCGTGTATATCGATCTAGAGAGTTTTAAATTCTAAGTTAATTTCAGCCTCGTACACAGTCCAATTTAATTTGGTTTCGTCTGTATAACCGATAGAAAAGTGATGATTCTGCGTTTCATTTGGACAACTAAATTTTGCGAGGGATTTTATTTCTGAAGAAAAAGAGAGGCGGAATGATGTCATTTTCGTAGACGAAAATAAATTTAACATCTTTCATTTAGATGGACGTGCCGGGGTACGTCGTAAACGAAATACACGACTCAACGTGAAAAACTTACGACCCACTGTTAACACTGTGGAAAAAGTATTATTCTTTGAGGTTTATTCTTGTCCACTTAGATATAAAACAAATTTCAATTGTAAAAGGAGAGATATTTGTAGTGTAGTAAAAAAGCATATGAAATTATACTGACCACAGAATTATAAAACAATTGAAGCAAATGTTCTGCAGTTATTGGTTTAATCAACTCGTATTGTTTCTCGTTCTAATTACATTTTCTCCATTCGTTCGTTTGCACTAGTATTATTTTTAATATAATGCAGAATAACAATGAACTTTCTATATTCCTGTAGAGAACCAATAATTAATAATTGAATTGTTTACTTGTCTGGTTATTCTTAACTTTTTATTATCGCTGAAAAATTTTTCCATCTACTCGAATTTTTTTCTCAAAAGTGTGTAGAATTTCAGGGTTAAGTCTATTCACTAAAAATGATTGTAATTGACCCCTGCAATCGAAAATAATTTTTTTAGAACGATTTGAAATTTTTTAATTTTGTTGAGAAATTTAGGCTACTCTATTTTTTTTCTCGAAAGTGCGTAGGATTTCGGATATGTGTCTATTCACCAAAACTGATTGTAATTGATCCCCTTAATCGAAAATATAATCCCCACAACGATTTGAAATTTTTTAATTTTGTCAACTTTGTCCAACATTCTGAATTTTTTTTGCGAAAGTGCGAAGGATTTCGGAGGTATGTCTATTCACCAAAAATGATTGCAATTGACCCCTGCAATCGAAAATAATTTTTTTAGAACCATTTGAAATTTTTTAATTTTGTTGAAATATTTAGGCACCTAGACCCTGTCGATTCTTCTTAAAAATTTGTTTTTGATTTTTAATAAACAACCACGGGTAACGTAGTAATATAATTTATTAATAAAAAATAAAATATGTACGTGATTTTCTTATGACTAAATTATCAAAATTATGAACTAGTTAATTTCATGATCCGATATTTATTTAATAAAACGTTAAGAGATGTGGTATTATATTTATTTATTAATGCAACCTCGGCATATCCCGCTCTATGTAAATGGGCAATCACTCACCATATTCATTACAAAACACATTACTAGGTATGACTAAATTAATTAAACAATGTATTAAGCATTTCTCGAAAGGCCTTATCATAAAGTAGTGCCTTTCCAGGCTTCATCTTCTCCACTTCCGATTCGGAAGTTACCAATCTTATTACGAATACAAAATTGTTATACATTTTTTAAACAAGTTTACAAGTATTTTAAACAAAATATTTATTTTCTAGTTCTAATCCGTCCCTAATTAGAAATACCCCCCTAAGTCGAAACTGTAACAGTAATTTAATACATTTTTGTCCCTTTCGAGACATCAGATGCGGTTTAAGAAATCTACATCGTAAGTGACAGGTACTCTTTATTGAAGTAAGTTTTCATAGAAAAAAACGCGTCGAAACAACCTAACGATAAATCTATCGATACGCAGTATAATCAACAGTCCCGGTTTCCGTTTCACCGTTCGTTCGTCGTGCCCAGAATACGTTTCACGCTGTATTGGTAAATGGCGGCGTTGATTTTCTTCAGTCTCTCGATCTCCTCCCTCATCTCGAGCAGCTTGCGCGAACACGGTCCCTCCGATCCCTCCGCCCCCAAGTTCCCGGCGTACGCGTCGAAGTTCAAAACGTCCGCGGGACTTCGTTCCCGCGGAATCGCCTCGACGGGGCTTTGGTTCCCGTCGGTATCGTCCGATACCCGTTGCAGGTTCGATAGTCGCAAGCGCGGCTCAAGCTCTGTGACCCGGAAGTTCTCGTAGTATTTCGCGAAGAACGCCGCCGTGATTGGTCCCTTGTGATCGATCGTTCGAAGAACCTGTCGGCTGGCGATGTCCCAAACGTGGACCTCGCCGGTGGTCGAGCCCGAGAGCAGATAACGGCAATCGATCGATATCGATAACGTCACGACGGTCGATTTATGACCCTGGTAGACCATGCCGTCCGAGCTGTTCTTTTTAACTTGCACGTGATGCTCCGTGCCGCGCGGCGGCTCGTGGAGATTGAATCGATATATGCTGCCGTCGGTACAGCCGACGAACAGGTCGGATTCGCGCGCGTTCATGGTAACGGCGGTGAGGGGCACGTCGAACACGAGGGTGAGCAACAGCAACCCGCTCCTCGGCTCGTAAACGTTGCACGTACGATCGAGCGACACGGAACATAACCTCCCAAGCGCGCCGGCGTGCCCGAACTGTAGATCTTTCACCGGCAGAGAATGGTGGGAGAAACCGTGCAGAGGCGTGATTCTCTCGTCGTTCAATACACGGAACAGGGACCAGACGAATATCAAACCGTCCTCGGCGCCGCTGGCGAATATCGAGCCGTCTTTGCTGAACGACAGACAGTTCACCGTTTGATAATGCTGCGACAGGTTTCCCAGCAGTCGACCGTTGCACGACTGCCAGACGAACAGCTTCTCCGAAATCGCCGCGACGATGTAAGAGCCGCTCGGCGTGGACGCTAGGGCCGTTACCTTTCCGGGTGTCGTTAATCTTAGGTTAGGCGCGGGGCTCGGACTGTTCAGAGACCACACGTGTATTCGAGGCTTCGTTGCATCCGCGCCGATTATATACGTGTCGCTCAGAAGCTGGAGTGTACGGTTTGCCAGGGCACCGGCGTTTTTGTAGGTCGATAATGACGAACCGGTTCGTGGATCCCACACGGCGGCACTCCAGTGCTCGCCCGTGCTGTCGCTGGTTATTATCACTTCCCTCGAGTCGGCGATTCGCGACATTTTGGCGTCTTTTTATCGTTCCGCGGAGATAACTAGTCGTTTCGGTGTTCACATGATTCGCGTGAACTTATTTCCGTGTTAATTAGCACCACTGTCTTCCGTACGATTTGAAACATCCCGTGAGCACGTGTCTTGCTTTAGGTTAGAGCGCAGTAGTACCAAGCGTGCAACGTTTCTCGCGCACGCGCGTCAGAAATGTCACTAGGGCATCGATCTAGGGAAAACGGGTATGCACGCCCCTGTTTACAGCGGTATAGGTTAGGTTTGCTCCATAGAATATTATAATGCTAGAGCTGCCTATCGACGCACGTTTTTGGGGTTCATTCATCAGAGGGGGGCAAAATTCTTATCTAGATATAAATTTCGTGTAATGAATAAAAGATAAACAACTTTGCGTGCGTTGTTCGCATCGAACGAATGAAACCTTCCGTAACTGAATAAACCTCGAGAATAGATCGCCATATATTTTTATTCGAATAAAATTCTGTCGCGAATAGCGACCAATAGGATGAAATAATATTATATTTACCTATAATTCTTATGGGATACATTACCGAAAGATAATAAACGTAAAATAATTATGCAAGACCTACGTAATTTGCATTATCGTATGCAATCAACAAGCCTTGTATTTACGTCTATACAACGCGATGATTGGACGTGATTTTTACAGAAAAGTGTTTGCGTAATTTTCACTGACGTGAAAAATAAAGCATCACTAATTATGAACGTTTCTTACGTTTTTACCATTCCAAATTGTGGAACTTAAAATACTCCGCTATTAAATTGACAAGGTACATTATACATTGTTGATTCCAGTTTGAAAACACGGATCCAGCGAAGAGTAAATTCTTCGACCTTGATAGTGATCTCATGACATAATTCCAAGTTGTGGGTAGAAGTATATGCGATAACGTTCCCGTATCTTTCTGCGTAGTTTGGTTATGTTATGATAGCCCACAAAATTTTCGGTACGGTTTGCTGACATAACCGGCAAGTGCTAGATCACGTAAACAAACTTGATTCAATTTTCTCATGGGCTTTATCGACGATGAATTGCAAGAAGTGTCAAAACTTTGTCAAAATGTCGTTGACGGTAGCCGTCTTGTTTCCTGTGTGCGCACAATGGTGCGAGTGGAAATAACGTAAGTTTATTCGTGATAGTACCTACGTGAATCGAATACACTTTCGTTGACTTTACGTGTCTCTGAATTCACAGAAAAACAAAGTTCAAAACGATCGTTGCGTGCATTCAATTCTCAAAGGATTATCCACGTACGCCGCTGTTAATCGAATTGAAGAGCAAAACTTTGTCTACAAAGTTACTTGATGGTCTAACAGAAGTTTGTGAAAAGGAATGCAAGAAACTCTTAGGCAAAGCTCAAGTGAGAATACTTTGATCTTCCAGCCGTAATAAGTTCTCCCCCAATGTAGAAACCTGTTTATGAATATTACATGAATTTTATTACAGGTTTTACCAATATTGAAATTAATCCGTAATTTTATTGATGAGAATCCTTTGATATGCTGTTATGATGAAATTTCAGCATTAAAAAAAATCTTAGGGAATGATGATGAATTAAAATTAAAACAGAAATATTCTAGTATCGGTTTAAAAGTTCAGCAAGGATTGTATTATTTCAAGGCCAAAATTGAAATACCGGACAGCTATCCGACTGATTGTGTGAAGTGTGTACAAATAATGACTATCCATTTATATTTTTGTAGAATGTTGCTTCATTTAATTTATTTACAATTTTTTCAGATTAGAAGATGCAGACACAAACTTCCCTCCACTATTTATTCGCTACTTTCTTGGACAAGGAAGAGAATTAGGTAGGCAGTGCGTAGAGCCACCATTGAAAAAGCAATTGCAAAAAACCCCTTTTGTGCCATCGCCGTCCTTAAAGATAGTCACATCTTTTCTTATAAGGTACATGATCATTACTTGCCCTTATAGGTTGTTGCTATTTTTTAATCGATTTCCTTTCATCCAGAACAATAAAAACTTTACCACAAGAACATTGTCAGTTGTGCAGAGAATTATGTCTGCCAGCAAATCCAGAAAATGCAGAAACCAACGAAAATGCAGATTTGCACATAGAAAGACTTTACTGTGGTCATTTGTTTCATTTGCAATGTCTTGTGACATTCATGAAGACTCCCCCATTCCATGGTAAGAAAAGTTTCCATCTCGATATTGGTATGGCTGTCTAATTTTCTGGGTTTGCCACAGGGGGTAAAAAGTGTCCAACTTGTGGAAAACGTATCTATCATGACAAGTGGGGTGTAAGTGATAAACTTGCGGAAGATCGTTGGGCACATCATCAAGCGCGGACAAGAGAGCTAGCAGAGGTAGCCGATTTTTTCAACTGAAATGTATATTTCATTGGTATCTTGATGAATTGCGATGTTTTTGCGATAAATGCAACATCGAATCTCAGCTAATGTATCATTATGAGAGGTTAGACCGGGGGAAAAATGATACTGAATTTTTAAGAAATCATTTGTAATTAAACGTGTTGTAAGTAACATTCGGGGATGTATGTTCATAGGCCAGTTAAAGAGATGGTATTTTTAATACCGTAAAGTATACTATAATACACTGAACAGTTTATATTTATATTGCACTTTATAATAACAAATCGCTTAACACGGTGCTAACAATATCATGGCAGTTTCTACTTGTCATTCGTTTCGCCTGCATTATATTATAATTATTCTATGACGGAATGTTGTATCTGATTTAACAAATTTATTTCAGCAATTGTAAATTCTTTAACCATCGTGCAATTAATTATTAACGATAATACCAGAGGAATGTAGGTTATGCCGTAAGTTTTGTACATTTTATCTAAATTTGTATTCGAAGCTACTTTTAGCGTTTGTTTTGTATTACGCTGATGACGGGTGCGAGTTAGAAAGATGTGTTCAATTAAAATGTTTAAGAAAAGTAATCACGACGTTCGTAATTAGCGTGTGCGAAGTGCTGACTGCAACGGAATTTCAAATGATCGGGACAACCTTGGCACGGAGAAAAGCGCGGTATTCGTTGCACTGATTTTAGCGCCACACGCGGCACGTGAAATCAGTCGATAATATCGACAACCGGAAGTATAAATGTTGAATCGATTTGTCACTGACATTCAAGACTGGTTACCTTTAACCTCATAATAAAGAAATAATCAATTTTTACCAAGAACGGAATAAAGTAAATTTGAGAAAACATTATTTGTTATATGGAATGTTATTCTAAACGAGGTGTACTTACGATTCTCTTTCACGAGTATAGCAATAAACGAAATGTATGCGATCGAAACAGTTCATTGTGGTAATTTCGCTAAAATAAATGAACGAACGTAAAGTGACGTACGTATTTATTTTTATTTTTTAACCGATCCGTTACACTCGCCCGGGATCGATAAGTATTGATCCCGAGAGTATTCTTTGTACACGTAACTTTTCCGTGCAATCGATAATCGAAATGCAGTCGATACGGTTCGCGGTGTAACGGAAACGTACGAGGTAAGAGCGCGGGAGGCATATGTGCGAGCTTTGTATACATGTACGCAGGTTACTTCGTACATTTGTGACCGTGGTTGTGACATATTGATCCTCCGTACCGACTACGGCGATCCTCTATTTATCTCGGTCCCGTACTAGCTTCTACGGCGCCGTTTGTGTGGACATATTTTCATTTGTCCTTTAGTTTGTCTTTTCCGTACGGCCGGCATTCTTTTCACCAACAATTCCAACAAGGAACGAACAATGGTGCATAGTGTGTTTAGCTGGAGTTAACGAAGAACGGGACAGAAACCTTTTCCTAACAAACTGGCAACTCCGAAGACCCGTTTATTCGAAAAATATTTTATTGTCCGTATCGGCACGGGTTCAGCAGATTCAGTAATACGTAAGAATTATTTTACGGTATATTTACGATATTATGAGAACTTGGCAATGATTTTCGTTAAGTGTAAACGGCATTTGAATCGATTCATTTCAAAATGGCGCGTTGAATTTTGAACGATTGCTTTTCTCCGAACTACAAAGCCGTGCATTAGAAGTTAGGTGCGTCTTAATTTTGACTCGGTAACCGAAACATCGACGTTATCGACCGTTTTGCGCGACAACTTTTTCTGCGGTTATTTGGAAACGATAGCGTTCGTATTGAGAACACGGCTCCGACAGGCGACAAAGAATCGTTAAACGATATTGATCGAACAATTTCGCCGGCATTGATAAGGCGTACGGGACATTTAACTTGATTAACCGCGGTATATAATTACTTTAACACGATTGGCAAGATTTTTCGCGTAGATGTACGTACTTAGTTCTGGCAGACAGCCTGTCAGACTAATTCCCAGTTATCGATTCCACGCATACGTGGAAACGCACCGTTGTGTTGCATTCGTAGGGTGGGTGAACTGTGTATTTCTTACACACCAGTTCGCCAAAATATGTTACGGAAAACTGCGACCGCAATAAAGATTCCTTATCATTCCAATTTCCAAACGTCTAACGCAAATCACCTAATACGAGTTCTACCAACTTTCTACGCAATTTCCACGAACGAGTTCGCTTGAAATTTTAAGTATTATTCCTTGACTGCGTCGAATACAGAATAGGTTAGAACTGAATATCTTAGAAACCTACTATATGTTGCATAATCCGAATTAGTCGGAAATTTTTATTTTTCCGTTCGAAGGTAACCTTAATCTCATTTAATTAACTATAGTATTTCAAAAAATACTAAATACTCGAATATATTTTTTGAAGAGCGATTTACTTCGATTGAAATAAGAGTTGATATTTATTTATGAACAAAAGCAATGGATATTTATTTTCTCCTAATGATCAAGATCACAGGTTTGTGACCTGTTTTCGAGGTTCCCCAGGGGCCACTAAATTTCATACAGCATTAAATGGTGACTGATAGAGTAGTTGCCCTTAATAGCGTGGCCCGCGCACGGCCATCGAAGAATTCGCGATCCCAGTTCGGCGGCCAAATTTTGGAGATCGTCCTTGTGTGCCGACGACGATCTAGCCCCCGGCTGTGCACGTACCAGGGTCGTATTATACACACGATACACCTATAATTGCACGTAGGGCAGCTTCGTCGTAACGCTTCGTGGATCGATAACTGGGAAATGGCCGGAAGCCAAGTCCGGCGACGTCGTTTCGAGTTTTGCCGTTGTCACCGTATGGGACCTAACCCCTTTCTTGAATGTCCCACTTGTATCGGTCACCCCCCCCCCCCTTCCCCCCACCAGTAACGCTAAGCCCCCTTCTTTTCGACTTTCGTTTCTTTCTAGCCGCGAGATTCTCGCTTTTCTTGCCCCTCTTTCTTCATCCTTGCGGGATGAATGAAGGGGCCGACATTAAAGACACTAGATCCGTGCTTCGTGTGTTCTTGCATGCGCGCATGCAAGGTCCACCCACCCCTTAACACGAAGCGTTCCTTTAAGGGGACCGTCTGGCTGGATACGAACGAAATATAAGGTATCAAGCAGGAGCTAATGCCGGGAGGGGTCTTTGATCAATATTAAGTTTTAATGTAATGCCCTCCGTGAGTCGAGAACCCGGCAGTTTCATTAATCTTCACATCAATCTTTGTACGTATCTTCTTAATCACCGGTAACGATGTTCCTTGAGACCGTTTTCGATTTTTGATCAAGTTATTAAATCAAATCTTGTCGGATAGCGAAGCAACAGATTGGTCCAATTTTTTTTTTCCAGTGTTTAAACATAAGAATTTCCATTAGTCTGTATTTTTACGAAAAGGGGGCTACCTTGAGGCACGATATAGCTGCTTGTTATTAATTATGACAGTCGAATGTGGGTTTAGGGACAGAAGTTTTTTCACCTGCCCCCCCTCGAGAGAGCCTATTGTTTGTCTTCTTTTATACGTTCAATCATTGATGTTCGAATCGTTATCCGGGTTGCGCAATAGACGCAACGCGGGGTGCCATTTATCCCAGCTTCTTTAAATCCTCAAGGGCAGCTTCGGAAAACAGCCCCGGGGAAACGGCGATATCGAAATATGATGGTGTGTTTAACCAGCAGGGTGCATCGGGGAATAATATACGCATTGTTTCTTTTTTCCCGTCGCTTCGCTCATCGTTTATTTACTACGTTGCAAGGAGGTTACATTTCGTATCGAATCTTTTATTTATAATATTGTGTTAATGTACTGCGAAGGGTGGATCCATCAATTATTTTCTATGACAGCATATAGTGAACTCAGTTTAATTTATGATAAAACTGAACACAGTTCATACGTGGAATCCGTATAGTGATTTGAGGTACAAACTTAGCCACAGGCACGGGCGAAACATCAAAGGTGGCTCTAAGGATCCCCCGACCTTTCTGCTCCGTAGAAAGTAACCGTAACATTCTAAAGAATCCCCCACCTCCCCCCTCTTTCCTCCCGCTTTGTAGGGAGAATTCCTTATCCTGAAGGATCTGAAAGGCGACGGCTGGCCGTGCGAGTAAAAGAAAGGTGGATCGTGGCGCGTGCCACGCGAAGGGTGACCACACGGAGGATCCTTTATTTTGTGGACGATCGTTCGCATGACACGAGCGTCCACGTATTCCTTTCACCGGGAACAATAGGGTCGTGTCCGAAGGACGTATCACCTCACCAGTCGAGGGTAACGGGCATCGTAAATGATCCATGAACGCAGCTGCGTGTGTCTTTCCACGAACTTTCTTCCTTTAATGTGCAAATCGCCTATCTGGCCACTACCGACCGCTACGTTTTCACACCTGAGCTCCTACTACGGCTTACCACCTCGTTTCTTAGTTTGGCTCGCTGCTCTGATCCACCTTTTCATTTTTAGGCCACCACCAAACTCGGCACTCCGACTGCCAAACTGATATTGCAGTTCACCATCTTCTTTCCGAAGCATTACCGAAGTTGCTTCTGGACTGTTGCAGTTCATCCTCTCTACACTTCTGGGCTACTACTGTAGTATACATGTAGTTCACCGACTCACATTTGTTTATTATTGCAGGTATCCTCTTCGCCTCTGAACTACTGCCTTCTGACTTTTGAGCTACCACGTCAATAGTCCATCTTATTTCTGAAGCACAACCGTATTTCACCTCACTTTTTGTGCATCTGAACTACTATTAGAGTCCACCTACTTTCTTTAAAACGACTATTGCAGACCGCCACCTCGGTTCTGAAGTATTGCTGCAGTCCAACCCCTCGCGTCTGAAGTACTACTGCAGTCGACCTCCTCCCTTCTGAAGTATTACCGTGTAGTTCGTCTTCTCACTTCCGAAGTAGACTCGCGAAAGCGAGTAACCCATAGGTAGGTAACTGGTTTAATAAACAATTTGATTTCTTTAAAGATAAATGCGCGCTCCAATCCCCTACTGAAGTTTGTATACCCATCTGTGCCTGTCTTGCCTCCGTCGAATGAATAATGGATGTCTCAGAGACGCGGCAAGACGGCCGATTAAAAATTAACAGCTCAGCGATGGGGTCCGTACGCGGGCATGGGTCTGCCCTAAATATATTTCGTAGGGTTTCAAGGACAAACTAACAACGTCAAGAGAAGACATTGGAGTCGACGTAAACCGTCGGCCATTGTTGGGGACCTACGCCCCTAAGTCTGCTAACACTCCTGACTACGGACATACGGAATTCCCAGTACTCTCCCACCCAAAACATTATCGATTGTTCGTGGGAGAAGATGCCAGCGTACGCGAAGGACCATTCGGAGTGGAAGCATGCGAATGTTGCAATTCCAGAGAGAAAGAAGGGGAAAAGGAGGTATATAGAAGAAGGGGCCCCAGCGCGTCTCGCGGGGACCTGCAACAACAAGTTGCAACCACCTGGCGAGGGGGCAATGCCGGCCACCCAGTGGCCTCCAGGTGCTCCCGAAACCCCCTGTCTCGTCCCGCATGCCTGCTGGTAACATCAACGTCACCGCTGGCCAGGAAGGAACAGCGACAGGGCAGGCTGATCTTCGAAGAGACGCGGCCAGCATCTCTCTCTCCCTCTCTGCGGAGGGCAACGGTATCGTTCTGGAACACGCGCGAATCAACGTTCCAAAATCGATACGTACATCTGCCGCAACGTAGAGTCTATTGACTCCATCGCCGCTGCTACGAGCATCTCCAAGGCGACTCAAGTAAGGAACGCGATGCGTCCTGCTTTCCACATTCCGTTTCCACGAAACTCGATGGCCGGGGTAGCCGTTTGCCCGTGGAACCGACGCGACGCGTCGTCTAATAGGTACCATAGAGTTTCACGGATCGGTGGAATTATTTCCGCGGCGTTACGCGATGTTTGCACAAACGGGCGGACACCCCGAGAACCTCTGGCTCCTCGGGTATCCGCCTTTTCGTTACGCAATGGTTTTTTTGGCTTTTGCTCCGGGTGAAACGGGTGTAGTCAGCAGTTGTACCCAGAACCAACGAACTCGATCGTTCTGACGAAATTCTTATTCGGTTGGAATTGGTTTTTCTTTTTTGTTAGTACCAGTTTTTGTAAATCGAGGTAATTTGTATCGAAGAAAATCATTACGGAGACGTTATTTATATTATTTTAGCGATTCGTCTAGGTTTGGCGAGGGTTGTAAAATCTCTTACGCCCTTGAAAGAGTCGTTTGGATCGAGTTATACTATTTGCTAGAGGTTTCACAAAATACTTATCCAATGAAACTTTTCACATGCATTCCGAAGTGTGTGCCAAGCGAGAGATTCGAGAAAAAGGTGCAGTAAATTTTTATGGGCTGCAGTCAGCCCGAAAGAACGAATTATAGCACGCTGCAGTAATAATGCTTTCGAAAGTATGCGTAACGTGTATCGCTAAATATTGCTGCTGTTACTTTTATGCAATAGGTTTCCTGATATTTCAAGTAGTTTGAGAATAATTTAAATTAATAATTTAAAGATCGAGTAATTTTGTTGATTAATTTTTATCGAACGAATAATGTAAAAGTATGTGTCTTTTCTTCGAAATGTTTGGGTAAGTTTGCTCGACTTCGTGCGCCACCAGTTCCATCATAATTTCTCTATCGATGCACGCTATTAGTTTCCACGATCGATCCGTGTTACTCGACACCGCCGTTCATGGGACACCATTCATGCACTGGACTGTAAAAGAGAATACGTATCCGTTCATCGACGAAGGAAAACGTGAACTCGGGTATACGCTTAAAAAAAAAAAGAAGCGTAGGCAGCAGGGCTGAGACGATTCGAATAATTTAATGTTTAAATTTCAAACAACGACATTAAGTATTTTATAAGTACTTCCATACTCTTTCATATTCGTTTGATAATTTAGATTACGATCCGCCATTTGACATAATAAATAGACGAATATTAGTATTTGTCAAAAAGGCTCTTAGCAAATGACTTTTTTTTCTCGGGGTTCGTTATAAGCCCCATTGTGTACTTTGCGTAATTTAAAATCGCGTGATCGCCCAAGGGTCAACTCCTCGCAGCATGGTAGTTGACCACCTAGAAAATGTTTATTCAAGCACAGTGGTTAGCATCAATGACCACTTGCTCCAACAATTCATCACGTCCATTTTCATCACCGTTAAATAAATATAAATAAAAGTGAGTCAGCATTTTTGTTTGTTTGTATTCTCCCTTGTGCACGAAGGGTCTTCAAACTACTCGAATCTTTATGTTGCAAAGAGTTGATGCGCCGACTGCTAAATTCACGCTGAGTCACAGCAGGCCACGATTTTTTGGGCGCATTTAAAATTTAATAAAACGATTGCATTCGGTCGTACTAACTCGTGTGTACTCGATGCTAATCTAATCTTAACCCTAGAAGAACTGAGCTACGAGTCGTTGCGTTAAAAACTAGGGGGAGGGGAAAGAGCTACTCCTCGAGCTGAACGTTATTCAAAGTTTTATCTGGAAAACGATATTGCATAAAAGTTGTGTTACAGTCAGTAAGGTACTTAAACGCATCGTATGTCTAATAAGAATTGTAATCTTAGGAATGTCTCCGAGTAAAGAGGTCGTGGGACCACTTTTATTTGAGCAGTTCGACCAAGGAGTAAAAATACAGCTACAGTGTTGGAGCCACGTGGGAGTTGGAAAAAAAACAGACATAAATCGAAGGTCGGTACATCTTTCATAAATAATAATTCGCTTATATAGCCTTCATTTTCCTACCCTTCGTAAACTGTGCCCTACGTTATTATATCCACTGTTATTCCAAAACTAAACACCGCAAACACCATCAGAATGGTGATTGTTATTAAAATTAAGATATGTTTCCTTGGAGATTTTGTTATCTATCTCGTAAGAAACTGTGTTCGAGTTAGTGGTAGATCCGAGCGCAAAGGATTAAAAACAACTATAGTAGAAGCGAATATTTAATCGAAAAAAGTATGAATTGTATCGAGTGTGTTAATTTGTCCATGTGGAGATTAATCGAATATTCGAATACAGAAAAATTCGATAAGAATTTCCAAGCCCTAGTAGGTAGGGTAGAACGTCGAGGGAGAGATAAAGAGAGGGGGTAGAAAGCGGGAGGAAGAGGGTAGGCGGTGTTCGTTGATGGCACAGGTCGCGGGGGTGGTTTCGAGACGTCGCGTTGCGGGGCATCGATTTCGGGCCAGGCCGATGGCATCGGCGGGGTATCGAGGGGGTGTCCCGACGTGGTGGCGAGAGCGCGTCGCGGCGCTGCTGCTGCCACTGGCGGCAAGCCGTTTCCCAAAAGCGTCCGTTTAGCTGGCAGAGCCGCTATCGCCTCTGTTCGCAGCACGTCCTCTCCTCGAAGAGAGGATTCGCCACGAAAGCCGCCTGCGCGAGTCTGGGACGTGCTGAGGAACGCGCCACGGAGGTAGCCGAACCAGCACTGCTAGTCGAGCAGTTGCGAGAGGATACCACCTCTAGTATAGACCTGGCCTCTGACTGCTAACTGCCTCCGGTGGCTGACTGGCTGCCGTGACACGGCGCCGTCCCCGCGGCACGCGCGTGTATCGTCGTACCTAGAGTCAGCCAAGCCAGTCTACGTCGAAGTGTCCACGGCGACGGATCAGCCGGCAGGGTCTCGCACGAGACGGTTTCGTAACCGGGGTATTTTAACCAAGGGAGGGACAACGTAACGGCGAACAGGAGAGAAACACTGAAGGATCAGACACCCGTGGAGGATCGTGGTAACGTCTGTACGGGGCGTGCGGCACGAATGCTCGGTGCAGGCGGATGCGCCGGTGCACCAGCTGCAGCTGCCACTGCCGCTACTACCGCCACTGCTACCAGCACAGTGCTGCTACTGCTGCTGCCGCCACCGCTGGTGCTGCTGCCGCTGGCAGAGCCTCGCAGAGGTGTCCACCTCGTGGCAGTCGACACTTCCTACCGGACGGTGGTAGTGTCCAGGCGCGCTGGACACACGAGCCGCAGCCGGTCGCTGCTGCTGCTGCCGTTGTTCATCGAACGTAAGGATTAAGAGAGGCACGGGCCGTGGAAGGAAGAGACGCAGAAAGAAGAAGGTGGTTGGTGACAAGGTGGTGACGGGTTGTTCGGTGGTTGTTCCTCGGCACGAGAAAAAATTCAAGGACGGAGGAAAAGGGGTCTCGGGAAGGAAAGAGTGCGACGAACCCTTTCCTCCCTTTCACGCGGCACACACTCTCGCGCGTATATACTGACGCGCGCGACGTGTCGCCGGTAATATAGCGTGCGCGCTTTCGTTTAGAGGGTTTCCTTCCCTCCGACGTCGACGCGCCGTAGGAGTGCCGGAATACACGCGGTGGCTCCTCTTCAAAAGTCGAGTTTTCGTCGGGGTGAATTTCGTCTGCTTCCTACTACGCACACCTACTGCTCGCCGCGCAGGGAAAGTCTGACACCGGGGGACAGGATTATCGTTTTCTAGGGTCGTCGTCCTGGCCTCCTTCCGTGCTCAGTGTCCAACTACGTACGCGCCTTATTTCCTTTCTATCGTCCGATTAGAAAATAAAGGAAGAGATGAAAACGCCTGTATCCGAGAACAGTAGGAACCGATAACGCGCTCGCGTGTCGCGTACCATAAACAATTCGGTGCGACGTGACGGGCCAACGTTTACCTCCGGGTGAACACGCACGGTCGAATTCCGCGGTTGGGAATTGATCTCAAATACCCCGTCGATAGACGACTCGTGTCGCAAAGAGCGAAGCCAGTGTCTGACCATCCCGCAGTCGGTTCGATCGTCGCACGTACGAAGAGAGTCAACGAGGCAAACGAGAAGTGGTTTCGGGGGTGTGCTGGTGGTATCGGTGGATCTCGACGGCAGGTCGTGGTGATGCCTCGCAGCAGCGGCTCGTCTGGATCGCTGGGTGTCGTAGGTAAGGACGCCGCAGGTGCAGTCCCGGTTACGTACCAGGGTGTTGCGAGAAGGATACGCTGACGAGTGCAGCCCCCGGTGGCACGGCAGTCGTCGCTCCTGCAGGCCATGTATTACGGTCCGGCAATCGACCGTACCGGCAGCAGCTGCAGTGCCAGCGACCTTCAGCAGCCGCGATCACCACGTCGACGCGGCGCTACGACGACCGGCGTCCCCGAGGACGCCGACGCCGACGAGGAACTCCTGTCCCCGCGACAGGAACCGGCATACGTCGTCCTCAACGTTCGACCGAGGCAGCCCACGGATGTCTGCTGCAGCGCCTCCTGTCACGCGGGTCGAAGGCCAGGCAGAAGACGAGCCGGCGGAAATGCGGTTAGGATATTCCTGCTCGCCACTGCCGCTGCCTTCCTCGCACTCGCCGTCTCTCCTGGTAAGTCCTTTCGTTACCCTGCAATTTAATCGACTCCTGTCCTTCGACCCTCGCCTTTACCGATCACGGGTCCTTTTTGGCATGCAGAGCCAGTGTCTGCGTTATCCTTTTGGGTCTCTACTGGCCATAAAATACCTGTTTAGGCGAGGGTTGATTGCCTTGGAAGACTCCGTTTGACTGGCGTTTTAGTTGTCATAGGGTTCGATCAGATTCGAATCCTTTGATTACTCTACGGTTGAGTCCTCTGTGAACAAGTCCTTTGATTGTCACGGAGGTGACTGATTGATATTGGGATCGATCGAATGACTCGGGCCTTTTAATAGTCATAGAGCAGAGTCAACAAGACTCGAGTTCCTTAACCCATCTGCATCAGGAAGCGGAATATTCCGCGCGCTACGTCTCGTTATATCACTGGGCGCGGAACAATCGTTGGCGTTGAGTTACTTATATCACCAAATGCGGAACAATCCGCAAATAATGTGGTAATCGGGGAAAAATGGTTATCGTATCATAGGTGAATGATCATAGAGCTGAGTTTAAACATAGAGTTCTTTAGCTGACTAAAGTCCTTTAATTCTTATAGGGTTGAGTCGAAAGATACGAGTCCTTTACTTAGCATCTAGTCTCCAGGAAACTTGTTTCGATTTCTTAATGACTTTGTTACCAGAATTAGCCTATGATACCCTAGAAATAGACTCTCAACTAACGAGTATCCTACTTCAATACATGCCCTTAAATTTTAGGTGTGAAATAGTAGCGGATCAGAATAAAAAATGCCCCTGACTGAATTCACAATGCGTTTCCTTGATAGTAAGTGAAATAACCTTTTCCACGATTTTTTTTTATCAGTATATCTGAATTCTATTCAGAGGCATTCTCTCCAACCCTCCAGCACAGTGGGTTCAATCTCGATAAGTCTTACTCCACTTTCTGCTTCTATTCTACTTTTGGGATTGACGATCGCAATTGTGTTTGGTCGCCACCGATAGGCTAACCAAGCGTGATTATTGGACATCGGAGATACATAGTAGACACGAAATAATGGTGGGTGGAATCGGACCTAGTTCCGACGAGACTAGTTGGCCCGCTTCTTGTGCATGTTCTATCTTTCCATCTTGTAGGAAGCAACTCTTTTAAGAAGCCTCCGATAGGCTAACCATGCGTGACCATTGGACGCTGGTCAGATAAGACTTTATGGTAGATACGAAGCAACGGTGGGTGGTAGTGAACCTACTTTCGAGAAGACTTATTCTTCTTACATCTATCGTATCTTTTCATTTTGTAACGAGCAATTGTTTTTGGTAGCCTCCGATAGACTAACCAAGCTCCGATAGACTCTAGCTTTCGTCTCATGGATAGTAATCAGCCTGGTTTTGACGAGATCCCTTTCAATTCTTGTTTCAATTTGATCATATCCTTCGATTTGTTGATTTCACAGCGAGGAATTGTTTTCAGTCTCATTTGATTGATTAATCTAGCGACGCTGAGTTAAATGAGTCCTAGACACGAGACAATGCTGGATAGTGTCAGACCTACTTTCGAAAACACTCCACTCCTTGCTCCTGCTCTAGCTTTCGATTTGCAGTATCTAATTGTTTTTCACTGAGTTAAATGAGTTTTAGAAATAGATCTGAATCGATAGCGATAGTGAATCTAGTCCCAACAAGACTTGTTCTACTTCTGAATTCAATAATACCCTACGAATCGTTGAGTACATTGCTTTTAGTCGCCTGTGATACGCGAACCCAAGCTGACTAATAGATGCCTTAGCTATCTTTTACGAAACTTATTTTAATTCTCCCTTCAAACACGAAACAATGGCGGATGATATTGGTTCTAGTCACAATGTGGCTATACCAATTCTCCCTTCGATCCTGTCGTACCTTCCGAATCCTTGTTTAACTTTTTTCAACTCGTGATTCCACCTCAAAAAATTATGCTAACGATTGTAGCGTGTTCGATAGACGCTGGGTGTGTCGTGGGCCGGCCATCGGTCAAACACCTGCGTCCCACCTATTCTTTCGAGAGAACATCTCCAAGACTGTGGCGAAACATGTCGAGCTGTAATTGCCGAGCTTCCTTTTTCTCCGCGAAATTACCCTTCTATGGAAATTTCTCGGGGCTCTGTCTTTGCGAGAGCGCGAGGAACGCTCGGCCCGATCGAAACGCGAAAAGTAAACATCGAGCTCTCCTCGTTGCGAAAATAAGAAGAATATTCACGGGCGTGCTGGCGATGAGGCGCCTGCAACGTGTCCACTCAAGCATGCAGATACGTGTATTATTAAAATGCTGCTCTGTTTCGCGATTCGCGCGTCGTCTCTCTTCCCTTCCCCCCCGGCCCCCTCACTACGATGTCCTTTGATGTTTCTTCTTTTCGATTCGACGGAACGTACGTCCATTTTTTTGCGAAGGGTGGGTATCGGGGATGCATGAAGAGATAAATGAGGCGAAAGACACGCGGGGACGCTAATTGCGGACGATTTGGCGCTCTGGAACTATGTAGGTGTGCATTCAGCTTTTTAGGTCGGCTTCTTTTCGTAGAACAGTCAAGTGGCAAGTCTGACAGTAACCATATGACGCATTGCGTCAAAATCCAGTGTCGGGGAAACTGTTGCGCGAGATTCGGTCTGCTCGTTGCTAATCAATTTTTACAAATCATCGAACCGTCCGTAATTCGCTTTTTTCTTTTATTTTAAGGAAAGGGCGATAGAGAATTGTCAATTTTTGGCTACTTTACTATTACCGTTAGGCCCAACCTCTGTTCGTATTTCATACCTAAATCAGCTTCATCGCCTAACACGCGAATGAAATTTGCAAAATCAATGGTAGACTATCGACCGTGACACACATAAAGGCTACTGGCAAACTAGGTTCAGCGAAAAATGAAAAGACAGTATGAAAAATAAAAGTATCCGCAAGGTTTAGAAAGATTCAACGACGGTCACGTGAGCTTTAATCATTTAACGGCCGCGCCCGAGTTAACTCGGGTAACATGGTCGCCGGATAAACAAGTGAAATCATGCTTAAAATTGTACGCCAAATAAACAAGCGAAATTATTTTGACTCGGACAATATAGATTGCAATAATAGATGTAAATCAAAATTTATCGCAGAAATATTTGTAAAATATTCGTTTCTTAAATTGTACAGATTATACATGCACTGTATAGCGACTGAAAAATTACGTTTACGTAAAAAATTGTTCGCGCGGATAAGAATTTTGCCCGCCGCGATACGAAGTCGTTAAACGATAGTGGCGAGCAAAAGACACGAAACAAAAATTTCGAGCAACCCGTTCACCCGGTTGCAACGTCTACTTGCAACACCACCGTGCAACCGAACAACTATTAATAGTGGCGCAAAAATATTTCTCGCCGCGTTTATCATTCAAATTCCGCTCCATGGTCGAACGTGCCCACAGGCACCCCGCGTCTCCGACAACACGGAAACGCCGCGTCAAAGAAGAAGACGAAAAAGAAAAAAAAGGTATTTTCTGTTGGAACACCTTTGTCCCTTCTCCCCGCCCTTGTTCGTGTTTTCCTTTCCCTCCCCCACCCCGCGTTTCGTGGCTGACTCGTTCCGGTCGAAACGTGGCTGACTCGTTCCGGTCGAAACGTGGCGTGTGGCCCGTAGACATCGCCGAGCCGCACCCACGCGCGCTATTTATCTCGTCGTCTGCCGAAGCCAAGTGTATTTTTTCGCATACCACTCCTCCTCCCCCCCACCGCCCTTCGCGCGGCCACAGTTTTCTTCGCCCCACCGTGTCGGACGTTTCAGTCCGTCTTTCTTCTATTCGTCTATCCGTCTATTTCTATCCCCGGTCCCCGCGCGTCCCTCTTCTTTTCTGTTTCGGCCAACGTGCCCCCTCCCGCCACCCCACCGCCCCGTTCGTCCGTTTTTTTTCACGATTTACAAGGAAACAGGCAGACGCAACGACCGAATCGTATCGGAGGAAACGGTGGTGCCACTTCTTAAATTTAGATATTTTCGAGGAGGAACCTAACGGGTCTCCCTCTCGTCGCGCGCTTGGGGCCGAGCAATTGCGCCGATCGGCATAGGTTTTGCGTCGTTTTTTAAATACTTTTCCCCTGGAGTTCTCGAGGCAAGCCTTTGGGACCTTTGTTCATCGATATATCAGGATCGTACGACGGTTTTAATTGTCGATTGCTCCGTGATTCGGGAAATGTAGAGTACGAGCGAAATAAATTGGTCGTTCAAGGTCACCGACGATCTGCACCCCGAAAAATTTAAACAATTCCCTGTCTTCGTTTAGAACGGACACAGCGTGGTCCGTTTGCTAGAATCATCCTGTATAGTATACAAGCCATCGATCATCGAGTTTAGATATATACAGTTACACGTGTTGGAGCCTTTAAAAAGATCTTTGTCCCCGTCGAAGACTAAATCGTTCATAAATCTTTGGTAGAATTCACCAGTCTGCGTGTGGTCGCAAACTATAAATAGTTCCCGGTTCCCTTTCATATTCCTTCGTGTTTTCTATTAGCATTGCGTAATCAAAGCATCCCGATTATTCCGGGGTGTCGGTGTTGCATGAGCCTCCCTTCAAACACGAGTAAATGCGGACTTCTAAGAAAAACCTAGGATTTCTATGAGAGACCGAACATTCGACGGCCATAATTCTTTCTCACCGAGGGTGAGTCAGAGACCATCACAGTTCCCCTGTTTCCCATCTTTCCAGACACGATTTTACTTTATCGTAAATTAGATCGCGCGCCTTCTACGCTAGATCGATACCTATTTGTCACGTACTTCCCACCGATTCGATCTCCTCTCCCGTATTTTTCTACGTGAAACACAATTAGGCCCTTCTAACTCAGCCTTAATGACTACAACCCCTGACCCTTAGGGGCTCCTCGGAAGCACAAAGTTACTAATAATGCAATTCAGCCAATACAGCCTTTAAAAACATTTCACTAGGAAGATTATATATTTCATAATTTTATTAACAACGTAGACGTATTGACGAGAGAAGATTATAT